AAATGTCTGCTTGTTAAAAGGACTCACTGTAACTTTTGCTAAATGTTGCTAAAGTGCTGCGCTCATGATGGATTTAGCTTGGTCTTTGTAATATAGCGATAAGGAAGGTATTTTACCTGCTTTTTGTAACTTAACAATGAGTATGGTGTTTTTACCTGCTCTTTTGTAATTTTAAATAACAAAGATAAGGTCTTTTACCTGCTTTTTCTAACGTTTCTTGAGACAACACTTGTTATGAATTGATGCTATACAAATAAAGATTGATTAATCTCCGTCCTGCCCTGCCTTGGTCTTGGTCTTGGTCTTGACTCAGTCTCAATCCCTAAATGTCTTGGTCTTGTCTTGGTTTTGGAGCACTCTGGTCTTGGGCATGTCTTGATTTGGCTAGTGTGGTCTTGACTACAACACTTACCGGGTATGTCCAACTGGGAGGAGACCCAGGGGTAGACCCAGAGCTCACTGGAGGGATTATATATCCTTTATGGCCTGGGAACACCTCAGGATCCCCCAGGAGGAACTGGAAAACGTAGCTGGGGAGAGGGATGTCTGGGGTAACTTTCTTTGCCTGCTGACACCGCGACCCGGCCCTGTGTAAGTAGAAGATAATGGATGGATGAAACCAGCCAAGTACAAGTATGTACCTCTAACATAAACCACTGGTTTCAGCTGTTAACTGTGACTTTACTTATCATACAGAAGGAAAAGGCCGATCATATCCATGTGCTGTGGGTGAAGAACTTTTCAACGGATATGACGCAAAATGAAAGACCCCTTCTTGTCTTGCTGAATGACGTTCACGCTGCCTTAACGTCCTGACAGATGGATGGTAGGAAGTGTGGAAAGATGTCATTTTTCACGTCATTTTCATGGAGGTCGAGAAATTGTGCATTAGTAATTTACATCCCTCCCTCCCTCCATCTGTTATCTTTACTGCTAATCCTTCAAGGGGCCAGTCCAAGCTGACATTTGATGAGTGACATGCTGTCAACTCTCCTTTACCACAACTTTAAAAACAGAACTATGAAGTGCTTTGCAATAAAACCCGCAATAGCCAATGAGAGCAAGCAGACCGTAAAGCGTCACCAACCGGACGTGCGTTTTTTACAGCTCACAAACTCCTTCTTTGTTTTACACTGCATAACAATGCACTCCAGAACAGACAGCTGACGACGTCGATCACGATCCATATTAGTTTTTAATTTGAGATCCTGTGTCTGTGGAATCTCCACTGTGAACTCGCTACAGCAGGGTGTGTGGTCTCGCAGTCTGGCTGAATGGATAGTGTGTGCGTTTGGAGGATTCTGATGTTAAAATCGATTGACACTGACCTTATGTCTGTGGTCTCTGACCTTTTTAAAATCATCTGGTGTGTAGCCAGCTTAAGGCTTTCCTGGTTAAATTATTGTAAAATAAATAAATGTCTTCTGTTTGACGAGTCATTTCATAGCTACAAACCCAGTTAGCTTTCTGCTACAATATCATATCCTAGCAAGCCTTAGGCCTCGTGTCCACCTCGGGTTTTTCTGGACAGATAAGCGCTGCATGAAGCGTTTGTGCACCGAGAATAAAAGCACTGCACTACCATCCTGTCTCTATGACAACGACCACTGAATGACCGACACTGCTACGTTGCTTATTACGGCATGTTTAAGATTTGAGATCTTTTTCACCCCCTGATCAGACAGGAGGCAAAAATAGGGAAATATGTAATATTTTTTAAAAGGGCCCTGGTGACTTCAACAGCACCTTTCTGAAAAGTTTTTCAACTCAAAGCGCTCCGAGCGGCCGCACAAAAAAGGCAGAATGCACCAAAAAGGCAGAACGCTCAGAAAAAAAAAGATGCGGAGCGCTGTGCTTTTTGTCAGGGCGGCTGCCTGCTCCTTCAAACGCTCTCTAATCATTGGTAACAATTGAAAAAAATGACCCTGTCTTGTCTCCAGGTTCTATCAGCACCAAAATCCATGAGTGGAAAAGTCACGTTTGCTCTCAGTGAACTGACAAGAAACATCTCTGAAACGGTTTGGAAGAGTTTATTAACTTGGCTGCTGAGGATGAACTGACAGTGAGGACACATCGAACGAAAGCTAAGACCGAATCAAACAAGGGCACGGGAGAGATGGTGTGTGTGTCTGAATATTAATCATATAGGACTTGAAGACTGAGACTGACGCACAGCAGTAAGTAGACGAATACTAACCTCTTTACATTGGCCTCAAGCTGAAACACAAACTACAAACACTTCATTAAAGAACATCTGACAGTAGAATTTGTAGCTCTTTCTGAACATTAGAGTTAATGAAGTCTGCATCTTTTACCTCAGAGTTTCTCTCAAACTGTAATTCAGAAAGTTGGTAGTATTAAAGTGAAAGAGGCAGTTTTCCACAATTAAGCTTCACAATGCTGTAGAGTTGTCGTGTGGAAATGAATAGCTTCACATGTGCACACACACACACACACACACACACACACACACACACACACACACTCACTCTCTCTACATCAGACAGGACGAAGCAATTATTGTGACTCTGGCCAACAGACACTGATCTTAGTGTTGCTCTTTTATCAGAAACATAAAGAGCAAATGATTCTGGGCCTTGTTCAGCCGTGTGAGGATGAAACATGCAGATACTCATCAGAGGGAGGAAAACGAGGTAACTGAAGTGATTTCAGTGCATCGCCTCACTGTGAGCCTGAAAAGGAAAGACGACCGCAGCGAGAACGCCAAGTCATCTTCTGCCATTGTGAGAAACGATACTGCACATTATGAGGGGAGTAATTAGACTGAGATCAAAGAACATCGTAACAGTAATCTGCCTGTAATAAGCCTGACCTGTGTGAAGGTGGAATATTGATCCTCGTTATCTGACAGACCCTCAATTTGTCGACTCGTCGGGTGTTTTAAGTGTTTCACACAGACAAGGCTTTTGTATGGTGGTTAGTTTGGAATATGCTAGACTAGAGGGTAAAGGCGAGTGGGATCTTTAGGGTCAAACAGAGTCCGGGTTACGAGGAGCTGTCTGCATCCCAGGGATGGAGATTCAGAGTTTGTGAACATGATGACATGCTTTCTGGTTCGCCATCCCTCAGTGGGTCCTTATTTCAGAGAGGAGGGATATACGCTCAGAGGGCTTAAGGCACGCCTCAGCTCCTGCTCTTACCTACCCCCAATTTCCACATACTCCTAGCACGCCGGGGTCAGTCAGCGCATGGACTGCCCAACTGGGTCCATTACTGGAGTGTGAGCGCAGCCATGATCAGCTGCACACACATCACATGAGAACTACAAGATCACGCGGGAATAAAGAGAAAAAACATGGAAACAACATGTTGCTTTGTCTTTCTGAGGATGATTTGTTTTTCATTCGATGCCTGTTCTTAGGTTATATTGTTGAAGTGATGAAAAATATGATCTTGAGTACGATCCAGACGCTGTGTGCGTTTACTTGTCTGACTTCCTGTCAGGGTGATTCTATTCTGTCCAGATCGTTCCTGCAGCTTAGTCCGTGGAAAATAGGTTTGAAGAGCATTTGAAATGATGCGGGGCGTAGTGACGCTGCTAGTACGCTCCGCAGACGGCCTGCGACGTTCACTGTGGAAACACAATCACAGAGTGGCAGTGAACTGCGATGTAGTCCATGGCGCTGATGGGCCGCGGCTCGCACAGAGTATGTGGAAATTGGGGGTTAGCCTGTTTCAGACAGCATTTCCAATTTGGTGACTGTCAACAATGGGCTTCAAAAGCCTGCATTGGAAACCAATCTTAATCCATCTTTATGAACAGGCTATGATTCGCACAGATATTGTTAGCGTTAGCGCTGGCAGCAGGTCGGTGTCAAACATAATGATCTTCACTGTGAAGACTGTGAGTTCTTCAGTTTACATTTTGCAAGGCAAAAAGTCACAACGACTGATCGTCCTGACTGTTAAAAGAAAACTGGATGACATCAGAATTGACTTGGCCTACTTACAGATGCACACTACAAGATCAGCAAAGACATAAGAGGTATGGCTCGTACACACGGGGACGCCAAAATCAGCCCCAAATTCTCCACAAGCTCTGATAAGCAAATATTAGCATGCTGTCACACTAATCTAATGATGATTGTAAAGAAAACATGAACATGCAACGTCTTTGTGAGCCTGTTAGCCATCTGAAGTTTGTCAAAGCCTCACCATGCTGCGAGGACAGCTTTACACTCTTCCTTTTGTTCACACTTGTGTGTTTTCACGCATCACAACAGGTGTGTTTCTGTGCATGATAGCACACGGGCTATGCAGCAAAAAGAGCTTTTGTGCACATTTCTCTCCCGATGCGTGCTTACTGCCTGTCGAGTGTCTGCCCACCCTCTCTGATGAATAATGTAACAAGTGGTGAGTGGTGGTGTGGGCGGTAAGGAGGGATGGCCTCTCCTCAAAATAGACTCCTGTGCAAAAGCAGAAGACTTAAACAGAAGCACACACTCAGTTATGAAACACTTCTGGTAGCAAAGAGCGTGCAGTCATTAAATATAGGACTGCAGATTTGAGACATTTCAAGTGAAGGACCACCATGAATTAGTGATGGTCAAGTAAAACAATTTATGGAATAATGGCGGGCAGAATGAGCAGCTCTTTAGAGATGTCTGCAGGGAGAGGGGCGGATTTAGAGAGAGGTGTGAATGTGTCACAGCTGGGAGAGAGAAGATGCATTAGGCTAAAGTGTGTGTGAACGCATGTGTGTGTGTGTGTGTGTGTGTGTGTGTGTGTGTGTGTGTGTGTGTGTGTGTGTGTGTGTGTGTGTGTAGTGAGGTTGTCCTTGTTCACCACTGAAGTGAACGGAGCAGGTGAAGCAGAGGGTCATAACAAGCAGCCAGCTCTAATAATGTCCCTCTGGCTAGTGAGCCAGGAGTGGACACATCCTTGCACCCCCCCCCCCCCCCCCCCCTCTCTCTCTCAGTGTGATGCTTGTGTGTGTTTGTGTGTGTGTGTTCAACCAGAGCACACAGCGTCCCCGCTTTCACACAGAGAGTGAAGCCTCTCCAACTTTCTGTGTGCAGGCGGCGTTCAGAGCTGTGTGAGGATGGAGAGCGGATAAACTGAGAACTGGCTCCAGAGGAGTTGCATTAGAGATGCCGGCCGAGGGGACGCTAATGGTGCCATGTGTTCACAAGAAATTGGCGTGCACGTTTTGAGCCTCATCAGATTTCCGTGCATGCACTCCGCGGAGAGTCTTTCCACACGGTGTGCCAGCAGTTGCTATTTTTAGAAACAATGTTGCAGTAGAGGAATCAATCAAACTGGGGCTAAAACAGTGCATTCATGACAATCTGCTGCAGCCCTCTGAGATTCCTATCTGAGCTCACCGGGCCATGCGACAGGATGTTGCCTGTGTGTCTATCCTATCGCAGCTGATGCCAAATGATGCCTTTTGCTCTGGTGCTCTTCAGGAAAGCACACCGGCGGACTGCAAACTTTTGCACCATGGAATCCGCTGCTCTCTCTGGCAACAGTGGCTGCAATGCTTTTGGGACCTCATGTAGTTCTTTCTCTTTTTGCAGTCTTAGAATTTCTAAAGAACACTGCAGTTTGCGATGTGAATGAGAGTAATTGGATGATAAAAGAGCAAGGAGCGTTGTGATCTGACGAGAGGCGTTTTCTCATCCTCTTTTACTTCTATCGGGAGAGAGCTTATTTTTGCTTGCTCTTATGGGAATTAAGCACTCGTCCCGCTGCATGCTCCTCAGGAGAAAAATGGCGGATTCTGAGAGCAGTGAGGTAAGTGAAAGACACCTATATTTCCTATAATGAAATATAACAATGCTCAGTTTTCCGGACTATTCTCCGAGTCCTTAATGCGCCCTGCAGCATGCGCCCTTTACCTGTAGTAGAAGTTGCATGCCGGACTTACTGCAGGTCTGTCCGGATGAAAGAGACTCAATGTGATGGGATATTTACCAGCAGATTAAAAAAAGAGGCATTTGTGCAAAGCAGCTAGGCGTGAGGATTCTCAGCATCGATTCCCTTGGAAAATGCATGCACATCTTACTGGTTTAGTTTTTAGCTGTGTGTGCTCTGCAGGAGCTGTATGATTTCACTCTTACTTTACTCGCAGACAGGGCAGACAGGATGTCACAAGAAGGAGCTGTTCTCTCTCTCTGACACAATAGACAGTTGCCCATCCGTTGTCGGGTGAGGGTCTCTCTCACAATATTTGATAACGATCTGAATGTGTTTGAATATCAAATGAACCGGTTTGAAAGATGAGTACGCCACATGCAGAGAGCTGCTGCTTCCCGCTGCGCTGTCCAAGGTGCTGCAGCACGGCGCAGACAAACGCTGGGACCATGATGTGTGGAGCAGGAAGGTGAGGCCGGGATGTGCCAGCAGCTCACCGGGCTTTTAACATGGGATCACCGGGATGCTGGGAATCAGTTTTACAACCAGCCTTTTGCAGACCCCCTTCAAAAAAAATCTGATCATGCAAACCGCAGGACCTCCATTCTAACATATTCTACTTCAGCTTCTCATAAAACTGCATTCTCACATCAGCACAACATGATCTCAGTGCTTTATAGAGTCCTCTGAGCCACATCTGTATTCACAGCGTGACTGCATGCTGAAGCAGCTCTGCTGATTCACCTGCTTTTTAAAGATTCAGACACCCTGTGGAGTTGGAGATGAGCACCGAGTTGCTTCATTAAATATTATGCATCACATAAAGTTCACTCAAAGAAAATGTATTCACTGTATTTCACTGCACTCACGTCTTTGGGCAGCGGGCACCTGCTGAATTATAATGAGAGGACACTGCCCGCCGGATGGATGCATATTTGACATCCGCTGCTCTCTGCTCCTGGAACATTTATGTTCTCAGGCGCTTAAGTGCTGTAATGGCAGAAGACCAAAGTGATGCTCCTTCCTGACTATAGGAGAACTTTTCCATGTAGGGATTAATTAGAAGTCTCTCTATAGGCCATTAAAGCCTGTAAGTCATGTATATGGCGCCTTTCCAGGATATGCATTGAACACTAACTCCCCAGAGAGTCTTGCATCACAGCAACTCCATTTGCCGCAAAGTCAATTTTAGAATTGACTCGTGACTTTCACTGACAAACTCAGGATGTCACAGGAATAATGCATGCAATGCCATGCCGTGCAATGCAGAGTGCTGTCAGATAGGGCCCCCCCTTGGGAGGTTGCCTACTGTCATTGCACACTTTGCACATTTTGAGCAACTGGGGTTAAAAGTATGTCAGACCTCGGGGGGCCTCATACTGGCCGGGGTCCCTGAGCATTTCCTGCTTTGCCTGCTGACACACAGCGCTTCTGGTTGGCACAGGAAATACACTCTTTGTTTTTTTTTTATTCATGCAGATATTTGATGTGGCCTTTCCAGGACAACACATGGTCGATCATTTCACCCAAATATTTACAAAATGAAGCTTGAATTTGTCACTGTGAATGAAAATAGGGGCTTTATAATGACACAAATCAAGTAAGTGTTGACTTGCTGTTTACTTCAGGAGTTAAAGTACACAAACAGGTGTGAAGTCAGTGTGTGTCCCCTCTGTGTTACATCACATAATGTCCTTCTCATATAACACTCTCACCTTTACATGGAGGGGAGGATTCAGTCAGAAATAGATCTGCAAATTTGATAATAAGTCTTGAGGGTCAGACTCAAAGACGTGTGTTGTGAGTGAATGTCATTTAAACTCAATGCAGCTTCTCTTCTCTGACCAAACTTTACCCCAGCCTCTACTTGACTCTGAACCCTCCCTTAATCACAGCCTGGAGGCGTTTGGTTTATGTGCAATGCAACTTTTAGAAAATCCTAATAGCTCTCTTGTATTAATCCTAAATCACTTCTTCTGAGAGCCTGCCTGTAATTATTAGAGCTTCAGCTTGGAGACAGCTGTTTATCAAATCCTCCTTTTTTAAATTCCTCTGTCGTATTTCTTGTTTGTTTGTTTTGAGATGTCAAATTTTTATCTGCAGTCTCCTAAGCTGAGAGTGAACACGTCTTAAATCTAAGAGGAGTGTCAGCTGAGTGTTCCTTCAGGAAAATAAGAGATGAAATGATAAAAGTAACACCTCAATTCAAGCTCATCTTCAGGCAGCTCCATGAAAGCCTTTGTGATGATCGAATAATGAACATGTTGTGAGAATATACAAAACAGATAAAGGGTTAATGTGCTAAGAGCTCCTCTTCCCAGCTTCAAGGATTTAAAGAAGTTGAAGTTTAAAAGTTGGTGCTTCAAGTGAATCTCAACATTGAATAAAAAAAAACCACATTTTTTTAGAGTGTGAAAAAGGAGTAGAGAGCGAGCAGGGAGACAGGGAGGCGTGTGATTGGTTCATCAGATTGGTACCTCGTGGCAGACATTGGTGGAAGTTTTTACAGTCTTACAACTGATACAGGTGACTGCTTTTCTTCGTTCCTTTTTCAGAGCACGAGTTATTAATCTCTGTCAGGACCTAAAGACAATTCCAACCCAAATGTTAAAAAGTGGATCTCGAGAAAATTACCAACCCTGCCTTTAAAAGCTGTCCCATTCATATACTTTTTACAGTACTCAGCTAATTATTGTTTGTGCTCTTAATCCGACTTTCTATCAATATTTTACCATCTAAGCCTTTAATAGAACATTTTAGCTTTGCATTAGTATGATTAATTAATCATTAATTCCTTTTTTGGCATCTTTGTGACAGCAGTCACAGTGTGGGTGATTGTCCCTCACCTTATAGTAGCAGAAGGTCTGCTCTCTTTACTCGCTCTCATGGGCTATTGTGGATATTCCGTCAGAGGCAGCTCGATCTGTTATCGTGTTGTTTTATATTCATGATGAGAGATCAAGGACACTCCAACTCCATCAGGGGCAGTAAAATAATCGTATTGACACCGCACACTTTTGGATGAATAATCTGTTTCGTCAAGCCTGGAATTAACGATTGTTTGGGAGACAAATAGGTCCAAACTGGGGCCTAAAATCGTTTAGTGTGTAGTCAGTCTGATCAAGGCAAAGAATATCTTTGAAAAGATCGTCCTAGTAAAGACAGACATCAGCACAATTTAACAAGTTACTGACATAAAACACAGAGCAACTACAAAACACAGGTCAAAGCAATCCAAGAGCACAGAGCATAAAGTCATTAGACAAAGCATCTACAACCCGAGCTATTTTCCTCCAGTTCATTCAGTCTACTTTTAAAAAGATGTGAAGAGACTCAAATCCTCCTGCAGATTCCAAGCTGCAGGAGCAGCGTGCCTGGAACCTCTTTTCTTCATTTCAAGATGCACTTTGGCAACAGACAGCAAAAATAAGTTTCTTGACTGGGTCACAGATCTTTCAACAATATAGGCTACACATGAATAAAAAAAATTACGAAATTGAGCATGAAGGAATCAGGTTAACTATTGCCTGGTTGATGTAAAGAGTCCAAGCAAATTGCTTTAATTTGGTTTAAAAGTCAATAAGAAAATCAGGCAGAACTAAAGAAAAAAAATAACATTATCAACAGTCAACCTTTTCATCGTCTTAGGTTGCATTTGGCAGTTAGCATCCATTACGGTTGCATTACCACTAACTGCTGGATTAAGTCACTTTTTCTTTGTCCACCCAATGTGACCCCTTTTAACAACATGTATAATCCAGACCCATCTGTCTGCATTCAGAATGTTCCTTCCCTCAGATATCCAGTTCCTCTCCTGTAAAATCCACAATGTCCAGGAACATTGTGGCACCATTTGAATCCACTCAGACGTCCTCTGTATGTCAGCTGCACAGTAACCATCGAAATGAATGCCAAAAAACCTCTTTAGTCCATGCACATACTTTGGTTGGATAGAGTCTTTCCCTGATTATATTTATTTTTGCACATCTCCCTTTTCTTCAGTTTCTTCAGCTCCCATCTCATTCACTCTCTCCTCCTTTACTCTTTTAGGACATCTTCCACACATTCTCCCCCCTCAGCAAACAGCAGCAACATGTCTGTGCTGCTGACAGCAGTAGCATCTGAGGGAAGCTTTCTCAAACTGCCTGAAGTCTTCTTCTTCTTTGTTGGTTTTTAAAGCCAGTTGGGATCCACAGCATTATGTTAGTTCGACTGCCTCTGGATTTAGAGTACTACTACAGCATTTGCAGTATTTAAACAATAACTAGGGAAAAAGGGAAGAAATAAAGATACCGTAATAATATGTCTAGACCTCGTCTCATTCTTTAACAAGTCTCTTCAACCTAAACTGAAGAAGTGCCTGAAGAACTGTCTCAGCAGCTCCTACACTTCCTCTCCAGTTATTCCAACAACGTCCAAAAACTTTTCAGCAGCCCCACAACAATCTCAATTCTTTCTGACGTCCTGTCTGCCTCGGCAGCACAGTTTATAACCATCTCAAAAGAGGCTAAGAACTCAGTCTTATCCTTGGAAAAACAGTAATCGTCGGGGTTAGATCCTGAATCGTTTTCCTGATTGATTTTTTTCCTTTCTGAGTCACTTCCTGTTCTGTTCTTCTCTTTGATCTCGTTCTCATGCTTTACATCCCTTTCTTTTGTTTTAGGACATCATTACTCCAGGTGTCATAATGTCACAACTGTGCATGTTGTGTTTAAATAACTTTGCCTTGGTTTAGTATGGACATCCAAAATCATCACATTATATGTACAGTATGTTTTTCAATATGGATCAATAGAATAGATCTCCTCTATAAGAAATACTAACACGAGGTGGCAGCAGCTGATGCAGCCGCCATAGACGGCAACAAGTCTTCTTTTTTTGCAGTAAAAGAAGCATGTGACTTATTTCTGAAAAAAAAACTTGCAGCCACAACTTCAAATTATTTTTAAGTTGCAGAATATGAGTCTGAAAATAGCAAGAATCACCAAAAGAATCCAAGTTATTTATGAAGATACTTTACATGCTGCTTGAGAGTTTAGTAAATTGGCACAGTGACTGAAATGCTGACGAAAGCAGGAACATGTGTTTTTAAGTCTGACTGACTGACTGACTGACTGACTGACTGTCTGACTGACTGACTGACTGACTGACTGACTCACTGACTGACTGACTGACTGACTGACTGACTGTCTGACTGACTGACTGACTGACTGACTGACTGTCTGACTCACTGACTGACTGACTGACTGACTGACTGACTGACTGACTGACTGACTGACTCACTGACTGATGACTGACTGACTGACTGACTGACTGACTCACTGACTGACTGTCTGACTGACTGACTGACTGACTGACTGACTGACTGACTCACTGACTGACTGACTGACTCACTGACTGACTGTCTGACTGACTGACTGACTGACTGACTGACTGAATGACTGTCTGACTGACTGACTAACTGACTGACTGACTGACTCACTGACTGACTGTCTGACTGACTGACTGACTGACTGACTGACTGTCTGACTGACTGACTGACTGACTGACTGAATGACTGTCTGACTGACTGACTAACTGACTGACTGACTGACTCACTGACTGACTGTCTGACTGACTGACTGACTGACTGACTGACTGTCTGACTGACTGACTGACTGACTGACTGACTGACTGTCTGACTGACTGACTAACTGACTGACTGACTGACTGACTGACTGACTGACTGACTAACTGACTCACTGACTGACTGACTGACTGACTGACTCACTGACTGACTGACTGTCTGACTGACTGACTGACTGACTGACTGACTGACTGTCTGACTGACTGACTGACTGTCTGACTGACTGACTAACTGACTGACTGACTGACTCACTGACTGACTGTCTGACTGACTGACTGACTGACTGACTGACTGTCTGACTGACTGACTGACTGACTGACTGACTGACTGTCTGACTGACTGACTGACTGACTCACTGACTGACTGTCTGACTGACTGACTGACTGTCTGACTGACTGACTGACTGACTGAATGACTGTCTGACTGACTGACTAACTGACTGACTGACTGACTGAATGAGTGACTGACTGACTGATGACTGACTGACTGACTGACTGACTGACTGAATGAGTGACTGACTGATGAGTGACTGACTGTCTGACTGACTGACTGACTGTCTGACTGACTGACTGTCTGACTGTCTGACTGTCTGTCTGTCTGACTGACTGACTGACTGACTGACTGTCTGACTGACTGACTGACTGACTGACTGAATGAGTGACTGACTGATGAGTGACTGACTGTCTGACTGACTGACTGACTGTCTGACTGACTGACTGTCTGACTGTCTGACTGTCTGACTGTCTGACTGTCTGTCTGTCTGACTGACTGACTGACTGACTGACTGACTGACTGAATGAGTGACTGACTGAGTGACTGACTGACTGACTGACTGTCTGACTGACTGACTGAATGAGTGACTGACTGATGACTGACTGACTGACTGACTGTCTGACTCACTGACTGACTGAATGAGTGACTGACTGATGACTGACTGACTAACTGACTGATGGCTGATGACTGATGGCTGATGACTGACTGACTGATGACTGACTGACTGACTGACTGACTGACTGAATGAGTGACTGACTGATGACTGACTGACTGTCTGACTAACTGACTGAATGAGTGACTGACTGATGACTGACTGATGACTGACTGACTGTCTGACTGACTGTCTGACTGACTGTCTGACTGACTGACTGACTGACTGACTGACTGACTGACTGACTGACTGTCTGACTGACTGACTGACTGACTGACTGACTGACTGTAGAGCCATGCAGGAGGCGCTGTGCATCCTTTGTGAACACCTGCTTTGTGCCTGAGCCATGATGGGTGGATGTGAAGTCATTTCCCCCCCATCTTTTTCTTGGTCATTATGTCCTCGTCTGTGGCGTTTAAGCCCAGCAGGAAAAGAGAGATCTAGGAAACATTTGATTGTGGAAGAAAAAAGAGAAGAGAGAAGAAGAGAGGGGAAACCGAGTCTTTCAAACGAGGAAAAAATCAATGGGACTGAAGGAAAAACGACTTTGTGTTCAGTAGATGCATGTGCCACACGGACTAACACTGGCACTTAAGTCAGAATGACCTCATCTATTAGGAAGGTTATCCGTAACCTTATCGACTCTGTTACCTAGGCTACTAATTAAAAACAACTAATTACTGACTTCAGTTAGTCCATGTGATGATTCATGTAAAACAGGATTTAATTGGAACAAATGGCACAAACTGAAGTCAGAGTTACTTCTGTAGGTTAACGGTGTAACTGAAGCACGTAAACGGAGCACGTCTTCGCTGACCATCACTGCAACAATGACGATTAAAAAACTGACCTTTAAGAAGGCTGAAAGGCCTCGGCCGGAGGTGAACACTTGACTCATGAACTAAAGATCCTGTCACACGAACAAGATTAAAATGAAAGGCAGTGTTGTTAATTTTGGAAAACTAGCATGATTTTGAAAGTAGCATTCTCTCAGTGCTGATACAGATGACAGATTTTTTTCCTTTTTCAGAGCACATGAGTTCTTAATCTCTGTCAGGACCTAAAGACAATTTCAACCAAAATCTTAAAAAGTGGATCTGGAGAAAATGACCAATCTTAAATCTGGCGCTTCACTGTTAGTTGACTAAAAAGACATCCTATTTGTGTTCACCTGGCCATCATTTATTTTTAGAAACCTGGAAATTGGAACGAGAATAAACACCACAATGGCTTACTGGCTCAGAATTGAGATGCTGGGAATCTGCCTCTATCTCTCTCTCTGTCTCATCCACAATGTGACACACACACACACACATGCACACACACTGAGGCTAGACCTCCCCAGCTGGCGTCCGAGGTGATAATCAGGGCATTACGGCCGTACCTTCTGTGCGGAGCAGAGCTTTCTGGCCTTCTGTTGACAGACAGGCTGACTTGCATGTCAGCGCTGAGAGCATCCCATAAACCCAGCGGACTGTGTGGACTCACAGTGAACCCAGCACGCTGCTTTATGGAGCAGAAGACTGACAGACGAGCTGAGAGCCATGAGATGAGAGTGGCTGTTAAGTCTTAGCCTATCGCTGTCCATGAATGTAAAAATGCACCGTGATGATGTCGTGTCCATGCCAGCTTGCTGTTTGGTTTCTTTCTCCAACTTTCCTCACAGAAGTGTTTTTTTTTTCTTTTTGTATGTTTCTCTTTTTAGCACCAACAGTCACTGCCACAGCCGATCCGCATAATCCAATCCCAGTCGGCACAGCCCACCTCGTTGCCCAAACCCGTGCCTTCCATCCAGCACGCCCCGCGGCCTCCTCTCCCTCCTCACACCCCCCATGCTGCCAGCCTGTCGAGCTGCCCTGGGAGGGGGAAGATGGCCAAGTTCCTTAACCCGGAGGAGATGACCTCTCGGGACTACTACTTTGACTCCTATGCCCACTTTGGTATACATGAGGTATGCCTTTTTATGTCCTATCTCCTCTTCCTATCAGAATCAGCAACAAAAATACTTTCACTAACAAAGACCACACCAAGAGACTGATTTAGAGAGTTTATTGTTTATTTTAACCATTAAGTATTAGTATTGCACACTTGTGTTTCGATCAAACTGCAGACCCTTTAAGATTAAAACAAGCTGCATGCACATTACATGTACTATGTCTTTAATAGACCAAAGTTTAAACACACCTGATGACTGTCCTTCAACAGAAAGCAACAGGAAACACATTTTAAGGTTTATTTTGGGGCGTTTTATGCCTTTAATGTAGAGATAGGACAGTGGATGGAGTCAGATGGAGAGAGAGAGAGGGAGGAATGACATGGGGAAAAGCAGCCACAGGTCGGATTTGAACCGAGGCCGCCAGCTGGGAGGACTCCAGCCTCCATTCATGGGATGCACACTAACCACTAGGCTATCGGAGCCCCAGGAAATTGAATAAATCAGAATAATTTAGGACAAATACACCAAAATGTTCACCGGTGAATCATCCATTCAAGTGTTTAACTGGTATTTTCACACAAAAACATTTGAAGATATGAGTGATCCAAATTGATGTACATTTGATTTTTTACTGCGTGCAAAGTTGGTATGTTGGCAATGTTGACAGTCTCCACAGTCACAACGTCGACTCTCGATGAGTCAGGCGGAATTTAAGGAAACTACAAAACTTAGTTTACGTCGTCCATGTTTAAAATCAATCAGTCATTTGTTTTGCTTCTGTAATAAATATCTATCCTGTCTTTGTGCAGGACATATTTCCACTGTTTCAGTTTTAAACAAGATTAACGTTTCTATGAAAGTCCAGCTGCATCTTGAAGACAGAGGAGAAGAAGTCGTACAGCACATGTAACCTGCAGACTGTTTTTTTTTTTTTATGTATATATTTTGGGAATGTAGGTCAGGTGTGTTCCTAACATTTCTGAATAATCTTCAGACGCTGTAACAGGAACAGAGATTCAGGCAGCAGATTCAGACAGACTGAGTCTGCTGGCTCATGGGGCTTATTCAGATACACCAAGTGAGGATTTGAATGTCGTACTGAACGTGTGAGAGGTAAGGGAGGAAGAATAGGTGCAGGGTTTACAGGTATCACAGCAAATCCAGACCTCCATTGCTCTGCTTGTGTCTTTAATTTTAACGAGTAGTTGCTGCTCTCTCAGGTTTGAGCTTCATCAGCATCTTATTTGTCCTCGCTAACCAGGAGATGCTGAAGGACGAAGTGAGGACGCTCACCTACAGGAACTCCATGTACCACAACAAGCACGTCTTCAAGGACAAAATAGTGCTTGACGTGGGGAGCGGGACCGGGATCCTGTCCATGTTTGCAGCTAAAGCAGGAGCTAAGCACGTGTACGGGGTAAGGCATGATCATTTTCAGTAACTGTATATTAAAATGGACACTTCTTCTTCTTGGTCTGCTTCTGTTGTACTGAAATGAAGCCAAAATAACTAGCGGACACTTGGTTATTTAAAGTTTAATGGTTGTATTTTTTAGCCACATTTAAACAAAAACTAACCACTGGAAACAGAATCACCCGCTGTGCACGTGGCTCCAGAAAGAGGATGAAAAACACTGCAGTATACATGCCAGGCCAGTAGTTGGTGGTGTGACTTTGTAATGAAAAAACATGCAGGTGTGCACAAACTCTTCCTTCTACAGAGCTGTGAGGTGTAAACATACTGAAATGGCTAACACATGAATGTTTCTGTGGACGAATGGTGAGGTGGGGTTGCTTCTCCAAGTGACCCTAAACGACAAAGTGAGTCATTTTCAAGAAAATGCTGACTGGGAGTCATGACAGTCGAAATACTCCAAAATCTGCCAATGAAGCATGGCTAGTGTGTCAGATTTTTCAGAGGAACTGCATATTGTTAGTTTACGCTACGACTGAGATGGTGCTGTTTCTAGAAGTTTCCACTATGGCAGCCTTGCTTAAATCTTGTGTTTTCAGTCGCCCGAAACGCTGTTGTCGTGTAAACAAGCAGCCAAAATGCAACAAACTGCACGGCTGTTGGGTTGTTGTGCAAACAGAGCCTTTTTCTCTCACCTTTCCTGCTCGACACATCTGTTTAGGAACGCTGGAATGAGCAGTGTTTGTCAACAGAGCTGTCAATCATAACTTTACATCAGTCTTTTTTTTTAACACAAGACCCTTGTCCCATCTGTTATCATTTAAGAGGAGGAGCTTATGACTTAGAAGACTGCCAGCCAGCAGGGGGAGCTCCAAATATTCTGGTTTTATTCCCATGCTGACTGTTTCTCCTTCCATTTTATTAAAGTCAATTGGTTATCATGCTGAACCATCAGGGTCTGATCACTGTGGAGCCCACGTACACCTGTTCTCTGTGGATCTGCATTTTACCTATTTCATCCAGACTGGCCTGTTAATCTTGTCTGAATATCTTGTCTGACAGGCAGGTGATAACCATGTGTGTCCTCTCGGGGTGGTTGACAGGTTGAGCCGGCGAGATAAGAGGCCTCCCTGTGTGTTGCAGTGTGCTGGAGCAGACATCATCACCAGTCAGGGCATGAATGGAAATGTAGATTCAGGATGCACAGCTCTGGTCAGGATTACCACCTCACGTGTTCTTCTTCTGCTCCTCTTTCTTATCCCTTGGTTTGTACTTTCGACTGAAATATGACTTCATTTGGTTTTTACCTCACAGTGTCACTGCTGCCCCTCTTGAGGGTGCAACCTTCATTAAAAAATAGGCAAAGAATACAGGGGGTTTACTTCACCTCAGACGTAGTTGCTCTTGGTTTGAGCTCTGCCTGACACCTTTATCATCCTTTAAACTTATAAGCTGCATATGAAAGATGGACTGGAGAGGTAGAAAGACCGGGCTCAGGGCCAGCAACACCACCACTCTATCATACGGACCTCATTACTTTCAAATGAAAAATGATAACCTCTTTCTGGATCCACAGAGTTCCCATAAAACACCCAGGTGCTGAATTCCATACAAGCCAGAGTCATAATAATGGACACACATTTAGTATCCCACATTGTTCACCCAAAAGCAACTCAAATTAAAATTAAAACAAACATACAACAAATGTTAAAAAGCCCATATTCTCTTCATATTCACCTTTCATTTTGTCAGTCTGTGAAACCTACAGAGCATTCATTCTCAAACTGTCGTACGAGAACCACTGGTGGTGCATGGGATCCCTCTTGTGCTACTTTTGGAGTCCCTGATTTTTTAAATTTTTTGATAAAGATGCACAAATCAAATAGTTGATGAACAAAGCTGTGATGGCGAGGGGATGAAGCAAATATGATGGGTACATTTCTTTTGCATTTGTGGCTCCAAACAGGAAATATTAGAAAGAAAAGTGTGGGTGATACGTCCAGCAGCAGTAGTTGCTAGAGGCGACGTTAGCAGTGCCAGTGACGCTTCGGAAACAACTAGCAACAAACGATGCAAAACAGTAAGAATATATGACGCAAGGGACATCGAGTTTGGATTATTTTGGCTATCTCTATCTATAGTTAGATAGCCCTACACTACTTTATTTCAATGTTGGATAATGGTGGTACTTGGACAGCAAAATATTTTCTGTGGTGGTACTCATTGTGAAAAGTTTGAGAACTAGTGCTATAGAGCAGCTTTGCTTGATTTGCAGCTCAAAAATCTCCTTATGTATCTGATACTGGCATCAGTAAAAACCCTCTATTCAGCCGGAGCTACTGTCTCTTCAAGCCCCCCTCCCAACATGCCCACATTCTTCTGATCGGCCAGCTCCATGAGAAGACCACAACACAGTTTTTAATGGACAGAGCACACATTTTGAACTCAGTCAATAAATCATCTTTCATCGTGGGAAGTCAGAAATGGTGATCACTATTGGAATTTAATTACTCATGCAGGCCCATTATATGACATATATACACTATATATTTCCCACATAGTGTCTAGCAGGCCGCAGCACTAACTCAGTGGGGAAAGTGATACCTGGACAAATTTAGAAACGTGTTCCTGCTGAGTCTCGGGAGAGAAGGCTGTAGGAAGCCCTCAGCAGACGCTGCAGTGACAGTGAGTCCTCCTGACACTAGTGAGCGGTGCAAGAGTCACCGTGTGAGGGTGTTGTTACTGTAAACACGCCTCCAGGCATCAGCACTCCCACTGGCACTGATGGACACTTGGCTGATGCTGTCTCCTCACAGAGATCCAGAAAAAAGCCAAGAAATCATCACTAATTTGAGGCTGTCATTATAAGGCCTATAATCATACACTAACAGCACCACAATACACACGCTCACATATGCCTGTACACACTCATACACCTGGTGCAACATTAGTCATTAGGCGGAGACATCAGTGCTGTGTGTGAGTGGTTGACAGACATGCAGACAGAAGGCCGTGGGCGCCCCCAGAAGCCTCCATCACCGTCCTCCACTAACAATGAGGGAAGAGGGCCGCTGCAGTGAGACGATGCTAATTTCAAGTCTGTGCATCTTGTGTGCATGTGTTGAAAGAAGGGTTGTCGCGATACCAGAATTTACACTTAGATATAATCAGTGGAGGCTTGTCAAAAGAGGGCGCTAGGTCTCTGCTCGACCACTCCTCACAAGGAGAATGACAGACCTTCACTGAATTTTGAATTAGTTTTAAATATACATACTGTACATGTAGAACTTTAAAAAGGGTAGGGTTGATGTTTAATCTGCACAGCGGTGCTGCTTGTCAATAGGCAAAGCAGGCAGCTGCTTAGGGCCCCAGACCAGTAGGGGGCCCCTGAGGGCTCACAAACTTCAACCAAAGCATGTGGCCCAAATGTGCAAATTTTGCAATTACAGTAGAAAACCTCCTTAACAGGGCCCCATGAGAGAACTCACTCTCCTTGCCCTTCTAAACGTTGCATGCATGCATGCATGCTGTGAAAACCAAAGTTTGTCAATGAAAGTCACCAAATAAAAATAAGATCCATCGGGACACTGGCAGAAATGATGGTAATGAACACTTGTTTGAGGGCCCCTCTATTGATTCTTGCCAAGAGACCCTAAAATCACCACTGAATCTGCAATACAAATTTTGATTTAAAATGTTTTTCGTGTCTAAAGTTACTGATTTGTGACATGTTTCAAGTCCCGGGTGCTGAAATTTAGCATCCCGGACCTCCATTGACTCACTCATTATAAGTTGCTAATTTGCTCCTCTTCGATATAGGAGATAGAAGCTTCAATGGAACAGGATAAGAGGGAACAGAGTGCTAAGTCTCATGAACTGAGACACAAAGGGTGAGTCATGCAGTGTCACTGGATCAGAGTATTGACTGTTTTTAAAGACGAAATCAGAGCCACAGATCAGATTAGCATGAGTCAGCAGTTTTCTTAAATTGATCTCCACAGAGTTTAGGAAACAATGTAAGTATGAATACATATGGTGTTGTTTTTTGCATGTTAAGTTCAATAGTTCAAATTATTTGGATGCTAATGCTGTTAGCCAGTTATAGGCATTTTCCAGTACGTGTTAGCATCGAGCTCACAAACTAAGATACACATCCCGATCCATCTGTGAGAAATTGTGCCCACACATGGGGAACAATCCACCAGCCGACCACTGTATATGATACGAGGAAAAAGTATGATTATTATTAGTATGGATACCTGTTATGGTAGTACGGAAACCAAAAAAAAAGTCCTAAACATCAAATATTGGGTAATTTTTTTTATCAACAAACACAGGCAAACTCCTGCACACTGTCTAAAGTGCAAAAATAAAAGTTCCCAACATATTAATGTAATTTAGACAGTGCTTTCTCTCTCTCTCGAAGGCAGCTTGTGAAGTTCATTTTTAAAGCTTCTTGGATACTATTGATCATTAAGACATCAGAAATGTCTTCATTTAAAAAGATGTGGTATCTAAAATTATCAAAGTATTGACATTTTGACAACTTTAGGGAAAACATAGAGACATGTGTAAGATGATATTTCCTCATCGGTCCACCTCACAGTGGGCGTGTTTCTTATTGGTTTCTGCCTCTGTAATAAAAGTATAGTCTTCATTTTCCCAGATGTTCGTGGAGGCACAGCTTAGCGCTTCTATTTTTTTCTTCCAATCATTGCTTTACCTTTTTTTTTTTTTTTTTTACGATCTGGAGCACCCAGAGTTCATTCAAGGGTCATCTGCTTGATTACGAGCAGATGGATCTGGTCTGGCTTCGTCCCTCTGATAAACCGGGAAGGTGGAACAGGGTGTTCACACTCAGGTGAAAATCTATAGCCTCAGACTGCTTGATGCAGTAAGAGGTTAGTATATTGACAAATGCCTCATGCTGAATTGAGCTCTAATTCAGTTTGGGAGCCGCTCACAAGAAGTGTCTGGAGTTAATTGTGATGAATGACAGGCCATTGTTAAGTTACAACTCTGTTACTCCTGGAACAACAATAAATCAGCCATTAGCTCGGCACTGGTGGGCACTACAAGGGGTACGAAATACCTCAAGACAGAAGCTCAGGACTCAGAATAAAAAGACATTCTGGGGAGGAAAATGTGAAAGAGATGCATTTTCAGGAGGCGAGAAATGAGACAGAGGAGAAAGCAGCGTGGTCTGGATAATTTAAGACTTGTCATGGGAGTAATGAAAGTAGAAGCTGAAGGTTCCATTGGGACTTGACGGCTGGTTGCAGCTGAGCAGAGACTAATCGTTACAATAATTACTTAAAATAAGAGGCAGCGTTTCAGGGGCTGGCACAGAGGTTGGGCAACTTGTGATTTATATCCCTTTATATTCTTTATTATCCGCTGTTTTCAGCTTCTTTCAGTGCTGATTTCATTTCAGTGTCAAGACGCTAATCCCTCCCTTGCTGGTTACCTGCAGATGTGAGGCTCACAAGCGTGATGAAACTCCCCTTTAAAAATCTCTTTAAACTCAAAGCTGGTTTTCTCTTGTATCCCTCCTCTCCTCCTTCAAACCTCTGCAGCTGTCCACTTGTGAATTATTTTTATCCTTTGTATACATAATAAATTATTCAATGATACGGTTCACTAAATCTTCTTTGAGGTTTGCCGACCAGGAGCAGGACTCAGGTGTTATATTTAGAGAGAGATGTTATTCAAAGATGTTTTCTTCCCACAGAGCTCCTAATGGTGGCTGCTGTGTGTGTGAACAAACCCTCATGCTATCAGAAACAGAGGCGCTGTTTGTCAATAGGCAAGGCAAGGCAACTGCTGGGGCCCAAGTCCAGTAGGGCCGACAAATTTTAAACCACTGCAGTGGCTCAAAATGTGACAATTTTACAACGACAGTAGGAAACCTCCCTACTTCAAGTCATTTTGATGCTTACTGTTCTACTAAGCTTTGAGATATGAAGCTTTCTCCTCGCAGTATTTTAGAAAAAGTCTTCATAAGTGATGGAAAGTAGACAAATACATCTGCCAAAGTAGTGTACTTAACCAGAATTACAAGATACTTCTACTTTTTTTATGCTGCTTCATACTTCTACTCTACTACACTTTATGAGGAAGTGTCGTTGTTTTTGAGGCGCAAATTCAGCTGGCTCATCTCGCCACACGGTATGAAGACCGATTCCAAGGAGGAGCGAACCAAAGCACATCAGAAGAACCCGATGTTGAAGAGTGAATAATGTTCCTTCATGTGTTTATAGTGCTCCTTGTTTGGTTGTTGAAGTGTACCGGAGTCAGACATCTTCTTCTTCTGATGAATGTCCTGCAGGCTGTACGCTGTGAAGTGTGATGCTGCCTCCGGAGGCGAGGTTGTTATCATGCAGCGCCTCAACATTTTCAATCAGAAATGTCAGTAAATAGGAGTCAATTACAGGCCTCGTTTATCTCGTGTGAATGCGCCGGAACAAACTACTGAAGTTGTTGGGAAATTACCCAAATGACCAGGGGGCTTCAGGTAGTTTTTGTCAAAAGAGAAGGCGCTTTGAATCCATGCATCACTGAATAAATTGAGTCAGTATATGTACTGATGGTAATTGAGCTCAGCTACACTTGAAGGCAATCTGAGGACATTTCTCCTCAAAGGATCACTTTAAAAAACAAGGTCAGGGTGTTATCTCATTTGTGTTTTCTCTTTTCCTCTGACAGATCGAATGCTCCAGTATATCAGAGTACTCCGAGAGGATCATCAAGTCCAACCACCTGGACAGTGGTAAGAGCTGCAGCTGTTCCTCCCCCCTCTCTCTCTCTCTTTACTGATGATGACACTGCACTGCATCCAGGAGCAACAGCTGCAACAAAACTGGCTGTTCATTAAATTCACACTGCGGCCATTTTTCTCTGCCGTCACGCTCAGGGTGGGAATTAAAAAGCTGTCATAAAGTCATTCTTCTGTGTTCTAAGTTTGCAAGTCTTACACATGTAGGGAATCTGACTGTCATTGTCTTTTCACCGCTTCCTGAATCAGGGGCGTGTCCACACTTTTTTAACTGTGGCGGATCAACTGGGGCACTGAAATGTGCAGGGGGGAAGGAAGTAGTGACAGAGTATCTAAGGGAACAAGGGCAGATGAAATATAAAAAATAAGTCTTGAGTGTGCACAGGAACTATCCAGTGATCATGAGAAGGTGACAGAAGACAGAAGAGAGAGTGTGCATACCTGACTGTGTGTGTATGTAGAGCTCCCGCTGTGCCGTGCTTCTGCATTGGGAACTCACAGACTGGAACACTAATATCACACCGTTGAGGAATCAAGCAGACTGAAAAGGGCTGCAGTGACTGAAGGGGGTTGATTGGGTTGGGGGCCGGTGTCAGGATCATCATATGTATCTTACTGTAGAGGAGTCTAGATGATTATTTTTTCTCTGAGGATCATATCTTTATTATTCCATACCACACTGGATTGGATCATTTTGTATTCATTTCAGTCCTGCCTCTGACTTATTTGACTTAAAAGCTCATGTTTTTTAAATATACTCTCCCCGTAACTTGAGAAACAAATTCACTGAGTGTGCATCTACAAAGTGACCGCCCCGTCAGCCGATCTCCCATCTGTGCACCTACAGTATGAATATCAAGTACGCTCGGGGAATTGATAAAGAGAGTTCACACGCTGCTCACTCTTTGATTCACAAAGTAAATAATCACCGCATCGAGGTGCACGTGTCATTCCCACAGTCACTTACATCAGCAGGGGAACTCTCTGACACTGAGAACAGCTCATCTCAGGCAGGACACAGATCCAGAGATTCACCCTGAATTTGTAAACTGAGCTGGGCTCATTTCCATAACAACACAATGACTGCTATATGAGAACATACTGAACGAGATAATGTGACGGCTGCCTGTCTGTTTTTTTTTATGGTTTGTTGTTTCTTTCTGTCTGGGCGCTGATAGGCTAGCAGTTGTGTTGTGCGCCCCATGTACAGAGGCTGTAGTCCTCGTCACTGTGGCTATGGGTTTGAATCTGACCTCGGCCCTTTGCTGAATCTCATCCCCCACTTTGTCCTCCAAACATTTCCTGTATCTCTTAAACTGTCCGATCTAATAAAGGCAAAAATCCCCCAAATCAAAGCTTAAAAAACCCTCAAACTGCAGTTTCTTTTGTGCACTCGGTTATATTATGCATCTTTAAGTGTACTATCCCTCAGCTTTAAAACAACAAAAAGATGTGTATTAATCAAATGAAAATACAGCATGATGGACATGTTCTTAGTGCTGTATTATTCAAGTTCTCAGACATGATCATTGGTAAATGGGTTTGTATATAAAAATAAACGTCTTTGTCGTAACTCAAACATGTGCTGTGTTGCAGTGATCACCATCTTTAGGGGGAAGGTGGAGGAGGTGGAGCTTCCTGTGGAGAAGGTTGACATCATCATATCAGAGTGGATGGGTTACTGCCTCTTCTACGAGTCCATGCTCAACACCGTCATCTTCGCCAGGGACAAGTGGCTGGTATGATGTGTGTTTGTGTGTGCGTGTGTGCGTGCGTGCGTGCGTGCGTGTGTGTGAGGTGATGCATTTAAAGTAGGGATGTCAGCTTCAACTAGTAAATCCAGATTAATCTATTTTTTTTGTCCCTTTAGGCTCACTGTAGATAGTCGTCCTCAGTGTCTCCTTGTAGTCTCAGTGATGTAAGAGAAGAACACTGCTGCATCTTTGAATGTCTCATTTCACTTTAACGAACTCTCAGACAGCTCAGCTGACGAGTCCAAAGTAATATCCACCTGATGACATCACACATTGACCTTATGACATCACACGTTGACCTTTGTTACTGTTTCTTTGAGCTGCTTGATGTCAGTGTGTGATTCCTAACCACTTCCTGTTTCTGTGCTGAAGTTCAAGTCCTACGCTGTATCCGAATTACCAAGTACCTACTCAATCTGGCAGTAGGCAGTACGTACTATCCGTGCTGTATACTGTTCAGTATCTACTATTCAGTAGGCGCGCACAATAGGCAGATATTTGTTCCTACTTCTTCTGATTCATTCAGTATGGAAGTGACGTCATTTACGTTACCCGAGTAATGCGCACATACAGTCAGGTAAACAAAAAACAACATCACAATGTAAATCAAGTAAAAGACAGATTAAATAACTAAATAACATACAGTAGCCTCCATAAAGGTAAGTACAAATGAACGACAGTAAGATACGGAATATAAAGTAAAATAAACCAATAAAGACATATTTAAATGGTGAAATCATTATTTAAATAGAGGGAGAAAGGTTTTATAATAATGCAGACATTTGTTATATTTTCTGTTCTTAATTTAAAGTAGTGATTTCAGTCGGGACTTTAGCTCTAGATTAAAAATTGATTAAATTAATCCATGCTTGTTTGTTTTGATTTGGAGGCGGACGTGAAGTGACGATTTACGTTTAATTTCGCACATTTCCTGAAAGCACGCATCCGATCCATACTGCATAAAACCCGGAAGTTAGTATTCATACTAAAATGTTCAGTATACTGAGGTGGACCCAAAAAATGCATACTGAATGACCACGAGAGTTCAGTATACTGAAACTCCCTACTGAAAAGTACTGCCTACTGAACTGTGGCTACCTTGCATCTACCAGAAGCTTCTCACTTTATTTCAAAATAAAAGCACAGTTGAATTCAAACAGCAAGTAAAGTTCTCTCAGTTTAAATCTGTACAAAAATTGAAAATAAAAGCCTTACGACTTTTATTTATGAAAGCAAAAAAATTGAAAATTTAGCAATTCATGGCAATTAAACATTGTCATTGTTTAACATCCCTAATTTACAGTCATGATATCTTATAGAGGTAAAATAATCTCCATATCTCTGATGGGACTTCAATTGTTTGATGTCTCCGCTTTAAAACAACTGTTAACGGTCAGATTTAAAGTACAGTATCAATTTGCTGTAACAACTTCTAAGTCATGTTTTCATTTGTTGAATCTCTTGTCTTTTAAAATCTTATGATTTTATGGTAATATTATGAACGCCTCTGCCTCTTTCAGGCTGCTCACAGAGGAAACACTAACACCTCTATAATTCAATCGTGTTCTTGGCTGAGGAATGAAATGTCACCGGCGCTGTGATGTGGACCTTTTCTAATGTGTTCAGGATTAATAGCCGAGTTATTTCCCTGCCTCATTTGTCAAACAGAAACCTGGTGGATTAATGTTTCCTGACCGAGCGTCTCTGTATGTGGTGGCCATAGAGGACAGGCAATACAAGGACTTCAAGATCCACTGTAAGTTCACTCTGAGAGGGTGAGTGTGGGGCGGGATGTGTGTATTACCTGAAGCTATAGTGTGGAATAAGCTGTACATTGTGTATTCTCTGTAGATCATGCCTGATTCTAACCAGTAACATGCTTCCATTGTAAATGAACCCCGGATGTAGAGCACTTTCCGATCCTCCGCATCGCGCTCACATAAATGTGGTCGCTCTCAACCTTTTCAGCTCTGCAAATGCTCCTGAACTTCTTCTCCTCGGGGCGAAACACTGGGAGCGATAATTGATATTATGAGTCAACAAGCCTCTCCATCTTTGTTTCATCCCACTCTCAACCTGCTGGAAGGGCTGTGGGCGAAGCTCTGCAGCCGGACGCAAAGCACCAGAGTCGGAGTTAAGCCAGTGCACAACCCTGCTGACAAAAGGCGTGCAAACACAACTATAGCCAACAAGCCTCCTACTCACACTCCCCCATATATCTGGGAAATGAAGAAAGCAGTCAGATTGGCTAAGTGTAATGATACGCTGCTGATATGTTGGAGTATAATTCAATCGGCCGTTATTCTGAGAGTAGGCTAGATATATGCACACATTGACCACAAACTTGTTCCTCTCCAAGCAGGCGGCCTGAGATGACCTTTAGCCTGAGTTAGAAGTGGCGTCCTGCAGCCCTCCAGTGTTTCAGAGCATATTGTGGTCATTAGTGCTCCTCTGGGCTGCAAGCTGCTTTTGTTAAGTGTGCAGCAAGAAATGCAAATACAGAGCATTATAAAGTTCCCGGGGGGGCGTGTGACCTGCTCATTACCATCCACTCTCAGACTCACTCGAGGTAGCTCGCTCTACTTTCTGGTCGCGATAGAGATGTTTGCTCACACACTTACTAAAGGAGCTCAATGAATAATGTATGTAAGGGTTCACCCGGCGCAGGGAGCCTATCCGAAGAGGAGGGGACGAGGCTGCGTTTAAGGAGGCTCATGTTTCATCCAAGATTACAATCTAACTTTCATTTGTCAAAAAAAACTGTGGCACTGATGGAATACAGCGTGCATGGACTGTCGAGAGGGAGAATGACAGAGATTGTATCATTTAAAACTGTGTGTTATTAAAAGTTTTGGAGGAGGGGCCCAATGTGTTATCTTTTCGTGGTGCCAAAAAATCCTGGAGACGCATCGGTGATCCCCAAAATTATTATTGGAAGCTCTGCAAAAATAACTAGTGGTGTTTTACATCTGCTAGCATCTCCTGTGGCAAGAAGCGTTAAAAGAAGAGAACTATGTTTAAAGTGTAACACGGCAGAACAATAACTTAGTGATGCTGTGTTTCCAGGGTGGGAGAACGTCTACGGCTTTGACATGACCTGTATCCGCAACGTGGCCATAAAGGAGCCGCTGGTGGACGTCGTGGACCCCAAACAGGTGGTTACCAACTCCTGCCTTATCAAGGTTGGTGAAACATTCATCCATTAAAACAGATATCGGTATATTAATGCAGAAACTGGAATCTCTGGCCTGAAGCGTTCTGGTTTCTGTTTCTTGTCTAAATCGTGTTAAACACATAAGCTTTAATGGTATGCAAGAGAGAGCAAAAAGAGGTGGAATTGAATAAAGGCAAACCAAATTGACAGCGTGTACAGCCCCCGTCCTGTTGAACTCGATGAAGCCCAAATCTCGTCTAGACGGGTGCTATCATATTGTTTGCTTTTAACATTTTAATTGTTCTTACTTATTATTGCTTCTCTATTTTCATTGTATTTTCTTGTCTTTTAACTGCATGCACTTCCTGTTTTATTCTTGCAGTGCTCTTGTTTTGTTTTATCTGTATCTCTGCATCATTGAAAATGAGGGTTCTCCCTCAGTGTGTTTTTCTGAGGATTTAAATAAAATAAAATAAATGATGATGATGATTGTGAATATGGAACCAGAGTATGTTCTGAAAGCTGCAGTGTTGGGGTCGAGACGCTTCCCTTCCGCTCAGGTCAATGAAATGTGAAAGGTCCCCCAGGTCAGCACAGTACAGCTGATGGAGGGATGTGCGCGATTACAGTTATCACCGTTGTCTTTTGGCAGTTCACCTGTCAGATGTAAAACTGCACAAACAGTAAATAAAATCATCCTGTAGTTTCAGTTACAGTAGATCACAATGTCCATGAATCAGCACGTATCCCTAACAAATGCAAAGTGTGGAAGCTATTGTAAATAATTAATGTAGACGTCTGTGAGATAACAGTGATAAGTCCAACACACATCATATACATCATAAGCACGCAGTGACCTTGATCTGTGAACATACTGTCTAACATGCTGGTGTGAGTATGACCTTGATGTGTGTCTGTAGGATTAGATCAGACAGCACCATGCACGTCGATAGCAGCCCGTCTCGTCTTCCTGATTGGGCTTCTCTGCCGACATTGATTGGACGTCTCTGCCCTGTCTCACCTCCGTGCCGCTGGGAGATTACCTCTGATCAAACCTTCACTTCATGTTGCTGATTGTGAAGCACCTCGTTGTCTTTTTCTTTTTCTTTTCCTTCGAACAAGTCCGTTTTTTTTTAAATCTGAAACGCAGCTAGAGACGAAACAAGCAGCGTGAGAGGTTAATGAAAGAATCAACATGTAACTGGCTGCTTCTCTTCAGCTCTTGTAAAAAAAAAGGACCACAACGATACCCCACTGACGAGTTTTATTGATTTGAAATGTATTACAGGATGACCTCATTAAAGGAGAATAGCCGAGGAGTCGTACACGCTGGACCTCATGTTATTAAACTGCTGCGTGCAATTCTCCAGTAAGGGTCATTACCAGCAATAATCCTGCAGACAATCATTAATTTAACATTAAATATCTGCACGATGCTGCTCTTAAATGTTGTATTAAGCCTTTAGAGGGTTTGTAAACACTGCTCTGAGGTACATCGCTGTCTTAAAGTTTGAAATGCCACTTTGAGAAGTTCACACTGCATGACCAGAGGAAGCAGTTTATGGGAGTGATTATTTTCTAAACACAGCAGGAGGTGGACCCGACGTTATTACTGTGTTGTTTTTATTGCCGGCAAACGTGAGGCTTATTCCTTCGCAGCAAATGTGGCTTCCGGCTCCAACGCTGACAAGCTAGCAGTGAATATTTATAGGCACCAAAAGGTACATGAAGCAGGATTATCACACCTCTGCCTCTGTGTTCTCCCTGCAGTGTGCTTTCAGGTGAGCTCCTCTGCACTCCCCTCTGCTCCTCAGTAATCACAGCTGACATGATATTTTGGCGCTGTGCCGTTCACAACGCAGTGCAGCAGGATGTGGAACAGCATGTTCTGCTCTGAGCGCACGGCCTGCTGGGATGAAGTGGTATCAGATACCCTGTTAAACTGGCTCCAACCAACATGTACAGCACAGAGCATGAATAACACCTGCAGCCTGACAACACTTGGAGCTCCCAGATGACCCACGTCAAAAACTGAAATAAATCATTAGTGTACTTGGAAATGATAATTAGCAGTCCTGCTTTAATCATTTCAGAAAAAGTCAAAGCTTTTTGATTTGTTTGCTAAGAGTTAAATCATCATCATTTATTAACTTAAAGGTCCCATATTATGCTTTTTCTGGTTTATATGCTCTTTAGTGTGTCCTGTGCATGTTTAGGCACATCAATGTGCAATAATTCAAAGTCCGTGGAAACGCGGCTTCTCCTACATCCTCCTGTTAGCTGTAGCATTAGCTGCATGTAACGCTCGGTTCTAGCCCCCCTCGATAAAAATGTGTCAGTGCGACTAGTGATGTGTCGGTCATGAACGATTCGTTCAAAACGAACGAATCATCTGGGTGAACTGAACTGAATCACTTACTGAAAAGAGTCGTTCATTTCTCAACTTCAGTTGCGCTCTCCTCTCTTCCGTCTCGTCTCTCTCTCTCCAGACCGTAAGAGTCGCTCAAAGCCCGCCCTCCCTCTCCTTTCATGTCCGTGATACATACTGACTGAACCAACAGGACGGAGTCGGTCGGGAGCTCTGTGTCGCTAAAGCCCGCCCCTAAATTGAGGAAGTAGAAAATATATTATTTAACATTTAGGTGAAAATGTTTGGAGCTTTTTATATCTGCTGTCAGTTTACAAACGGCTTTTATATCCAACTTAATTTCACTCAGCTGACTGTTTTAACATCTACTAACGATCGTGTTTCAGTCAGTACTGTGTGTGTGTGTGACTGAGGCTGGTGACTCGCAGTCTCGCTTGTTCACGTTCACTGAACGAACTGAACGACAGCTCCGACGTGAATCACTGAACGAACTGAGAGGAGGAGCGGAGCTGTCGTTGAAGTCTTAGCATTTGTGGGGTTTTTTCAATCAGTCTGAGTGATTCCCTAAGTTCAGTCATTCTGCACAGCTATAGCTCTTGGCCTAAAAGAATATTCCATAAAAGTATTTACAAAAGGAACTATACGACTTCTTACTTGTTGTGTCTCTACTCCCGCAGGAGGTGGACATCTACACGGTGAAGGCGGAGGACCTCTCCTTTACCTCAACGTTCTGCCTGCAGATCCAGAGGAACGACTACATCCATGCACTGGTCACTTACTTTCACATTGAGTTCACAAAGTGTCACAAGAAGACCAGTTTCTCCACAGGTAGGACATCTCACACTCTCCTAAGCGGAACATACCGGGTAACAGGGGTCTAAGTGTGGGTTTGCCCTACAGCAACAGAGCTGCAGCAGATGTGTGAAAGTGTTGGTTATTGTAATCTGTTAGGTATTAGTGTCCTTTTTTATTATTAGCCTCCACAGAGAGACTGAAGTAAAGTTTCAGCAGTGAAACAGCGCCCCCTAGAGGTCAGGTTGGGTACCCCCCTCTTACCTCTGGTGTAGCAGAACTGATATTTGATTAACCTGTGGCTGTTTTCCTCGTTCATATGCTGCCCCCCATCATTGGCTTTAATGAGCTTTGTGAACATTATTTCACCACAAAGCAGGACCTTCTTGTTCTCAGAAAGGGAACAAGGGAACACAGTTCAGTGTGAACTTGAAATCCCAACGCCTCGACATCAAACCACAATATCACTTTAGTTTGGGTGGTTAAATAAACATTTAAAAGTGCTCAAAGGAATCCCAGGGCGCTCCCAATCAAAACAAAATCAAAAGCTGACATCGAGGCCGGTGGGGAATCATGGGAGAGATTCTCTTTGCGAGGACTCACCTCCAATGAAAATGAACTCTGAGTTGACCGTAGTCAAGACGACCGGGTGAAACCAACCTGAGGAAGAGAATATGTTTACAGACGAGCTAATGTATCAGAGTATAATTTACATGACGTTTTTTTATCAGAGCAGCATGTACAGCAACAGGACGGCAGCTTTCAGGAGCAGCTCACGCTCCCTAATGCATCAGTCTTTGACGTAACATGAGGCGTTTTCATGGCAATGATAAACATGTCGTGTCTGTCATGGCGGCCGCTACAAACACACGTGAAGGGCCGTTCACGACTATAAAACATAGGATTTCTCTGGCTTGGATTTTAGTTTAAACATTTTACATATTACACCTTTAACCGTTTGGTTTTGAGGAGATCTCTGGAGAAGAAGAAGGAGAAGAAGTGAATTTCTGAATCTTTTCTGAAGTATTTGAGATGATAAGTTGTTTCCTTCACAGTCTTTATATCAGCCTATAGCCTATATATGACACTATCAATGGATGCATTTAAGAGTGGTTTCAATCTTTTCATTGCATGGGACACAAACCCGACTAGGAATATGCACTGAAAGAAGATTCACAAACTTACTACGGCTTCACTACTTTTTGTTGGTAGATTTACAAAAAGTGGCAGAGGATGAGTAACTTGTTCTATAAAAGCTGAAACCAAGTTGTCCTTTTTGAGGTGGACATAAAAATAAAAAGTCATAAACGTGAGGCCTTTGACATCTTTTGTTTCATAGTGTGGCACATGTTTCCAGCCTGTGTTTCATTCTCCTAATGATGAGTAGCTGGTCAAAACCTGTGTGTGACTGACCTCTAGTGGTTGTGTCTGGTATTGCACATTAAAACAAAATGAGTGCAGAATGTTTTATTGTAAAGGTTTGGACAGTCGGCAGTTGGCCCCATGATACTCATGATTTTATGTTTTCTCTGCAAATCTTTGTTGAATAAAAATCATTGCATCTGCAGTATCTTTAAAAAAACACAAGATGTGTGAGATCTTTATCTAAATATCCAAATCTGTCTCTCCTCTAAGCAGATTTATTTCTTCTGTCTTACGTAAAAAAAATTATTTGACAAAGCTGAGGAGGTTTTTTCTGCAAATCCTTTAAGAAACACATCCTAGAGCAAAAGCTTGACTTGGCTCCTGTTGAATAAAACACACACAGAGAAGCTGAGCCGAGGAAGGAAACACAAACTGAGCTGACAAAGATAACAATCCATCTCATATAAACAATCTGGGATCTCTCTGCTGCTTCTGAATTAGCATGAGAAACACAGCTAGCTTGTGATTACTGCACTACGCCCAAAACAAACAGAGAAGCCAGGCCTGCTGATTGGCAGACACTTTTATCAATGGCCTCACAAAGAGCTCGTCTGGAAAGACAGCGCTGCTCCGCTGGCAGAAATCCACTCCATGCCCCACAGATCTTTTCAATCTCAGGCCGAGTGATCTGTGACGGTCAGGGCATCGGTTAACGCTTCTATTTGTTTTTGGGCATGCAATGTTTTCGATGCACACACAGCCCACATCACGCAGATGGATGCACAAAGGGTAGCACGATAAAAACAGAAAGCAGCAGGGTAATGAAACAGCAGCAGCAGAGAGATCAAGAGTGTAGTCAGTCAGACACCTCCTGTGTTTAATGTTGAAGTGAGAGTGGAGTTACCTGCTCTGTCTGCACCTCCATCTCTCTGCCTCTGCTCTCCTCCACACTGTCTGTGTTTATATCACCCACATCAGGTTAATACAAGTCTGTTTGTCTCTCATCACCCCTTAAATAACAATCTCTTAACTGACAATCACATCAGAACCTTTGTGTCACCACAGAGGGTTAACCTGTTAGAAAAAGGAGGCGTTCATCACTCACATTGAGAAGATGACATCTTTATGCTGACTTCTGTTTGGGACATTTTGTTTTGTTAAGACATTTAGGGATCAAGACCAAGGCAGGGCGAGACCGATTCAAGACCTTGAACATAAATATCACTGAAAAATCATCATCTTGTGTGCAGCAGGTGTGTCACTAGCTTAGGCCGTAACACAAGGGGATAACAATCAAATTACAAATGAATTGAAGTTATTCGTTCATCTAGAAAGAGGTGTCTTCCTTCTAATCACAGTAATGATCAGTTTGAGACCGAGACAAGACCCAGTTAAAATTCTCTTGAATCCAAGACGGAACTAAGATCTTCTTTTCCAACTCTTAAGCTTTGGTCGTCACTTCAGAAGTTTGTTTTCATGAATTTGATCTCCAGAATTCACCAAACTAGTTTCTGGTGATAACTATGTGTTGTAGTTAAGACCATGACTGAGACCAAGACATACCCGAGACCAGAGTGCTCCGAGACTGAGACAAGACCAAGGCAGGGCGAGACCGAGACAAGACGAAGACCATACAAATCAAACTAAGAATGAATTGAAGTTATTTGTTCTTTTAAAAAGAGGCGTTTTCCTTCTAATCTCAGTAATGACGTGGAAATCAGTGGTGGTCTTGACTGGTCTTGATTTAAAATTCGGAATCCGTCTCGTCCGAGACCAAGACAAGAGTAAAACTGCTTTAGATTCCGAGACGAGACCTTCAAAAAGTGGTCTGCAGACAAGACAGTTTTCGAGTACTACAACTCTACTTTCTTGCTACTATGGTCTTTTCAGGAACAATCTGTAATGGGTTGAATGGTAAATAATCGTTTTCTGATTCACAGATAAATCAGTTCTGTGCAAAAACTCAAATCTTAGCAAGCGTATTTCAATATCTACATTACACCTGTGTGTCTACCCGGCTGAAGCAGGTCGCCTTACTGGGCTGACTGCAGACGCAATATGACATCACAAAGACAACAAGAGAGATTTATTTTAAATAGTAAGTTACCTTCTCCCTAAGCATTTGGGGCCGTGTCCTGATTTATTCAGCATTATGTACTTGTTAGTTTCTCATTATTAACCTTTTATAATAAATGAATTATTTCCAATCTCTTGTTAAAAAGCTAAAAGAGCTGAGTGTGTGTGTTTGTGTGTGTCCCAGCACCAGACTCTCCGTACACCCACTGGAAGCAGACAGTGTTTTATCTGGAGGATTATCTGACGGTGAGGAGAGGAGAGGAGATTACAGGCAGCATCGCTATGAAGCCTAATGAGAAGAACTCTGTGAGTATTGTACACTTCATGTCCAATTATTACACTGATGATAGTGGGATTTATTGGCAATATGTCCAAGAGAAGCTGTTTGTTGGACCTACATGTTTATAAAAACAAGTGCAAGAAACTAAAGACTACAAATATAACCTAGATATTGTTTCATAGTTCTTCTTAACTCGTATCTTTATATTTAAGCTAAGGAATGAGTCATATCCTGCTCTGGCGGCCTCGCAGCAGATTGTTTCCTCCTCCGTGTTGGCTGGCGGTCAAACACATGCAGTTGCACTGCAGTGACGCCCAGACAAACAACAACACCAGATTCTACTGTTGACCTTGTGAGCGTCCCCTCCTCCCCCTCTGGGAGCTCGGGAGGCGAGACCTGCTTCCTCCTGATGTCTCACACAAACAGTCTGCGCTTGTTGAACACCATGTTCGGCTGTCAGGTCCGAATGGAAACACTCTCGTGCACAAAGTGTTCTCTGAGTCATTTCTTCCCCTGTCTCCATCAGCGCTGAAAGTCAGTCACAGCTACATCATAATCTCTGCTGAGTGAATTCATCTTTTATTCATTGACTTTAACATTCAGGGTAATTAACACTTTAAAGGCAGGGTTGGTCATTTTCTCCAGATCCACTTTTTAAGATTTTGGTTGAAATTGTATTTAGGTCCTGACATTAAAAACTCGTGCTCTGACAAAGGAACTAAGAAAATCCATCACCTGTATCAGTTGTTAGACTGTAAAAACTTCAACCAATGTCTGCCACAAGGTACCAATCTGATGAACCAATCACACGCCTTCCCTGTCTCCCCTGCTCGCTCTCTACTCCTTTTGTGCTCTATTAAATTTTCTAATTTTGGTTGCTGCTGAGCCTGGCCTGGTGGTAACTAGCTGCTGAAGTTCAAAGTTCTTTAGAAATCTTTTTGCCTGTCCAACAATTCACACACTTGAGCCATGCTGACATATTCCTCAGTGTAGTTGTTAGAGGCTTTTGGTGGCATGGTTAGGATATCTAGGCTTAATAGGCCTAAAGTTTAACGGAGTAGCTTGAGACAAAAACCTCCACAAGATAAAAACAAAAATCCACAATTTCACTGATGATAGTTGGTTTAACTCTTCCTAATCCAGTTTAAGATAAAAGTTTTCAAATCTAGGAAGGATTCCTCAGATTTTTGCTGGATTGATAACCAGCCAAAACGTTGAGAGAAACACCTCAGTGTTGGTCAAAAGCTACAACCTGCTGCGAGATGTATCACTCCGCAAGAAGAATGAAACACTACGATGTTTATCTGACCAAAAAAAAGATCACAAGTATCCATGTGCTACAACCTCATGTTCTATAAACAGGAGTGATATAAGTTTAAAACTGATGGCCTGATTTGCTTTCCTGACCTCCATCTTTCTTTCCTCCCTCTCTTCACCTGCAGCGGGACTTGGACTTCACCTTTGAGCTGGACTTCAAGGGGCAGCTGTGCGAAGCAGCCATAGCACACGACTACAAGATGCGCTAAGTGTGACGGGAGGACCTCGGTGCCCCACTGAGTGTGAACCGCTGAGCACCAGAGGGAGACAGAGACGCTCCCATGACTGCAGACGGACACACTGGGTGACGAAGGAGAGGGAGACGAGGGCCGAAGATGGAGGCCCGACAGCTGACAGTTTCACTATCGTCTCCACAGTGCATGATGGAGTCAGGAAGTGACTGGTTCTGACTGTTTAACAACCCTGAATGTAACACTGATGAAACGAGGCCCAGAGTGTTCTCTAGTCTGGATGAATGTTATTGATTCTTGATGTTCTGTGAGATGGAGTGGTGTACCTGTGTGCTTTGTTCAGTAGCTGTTTTCTGCAATAACCTGGAGTCGATTGTAGGCTTCAAGTTGACAAAACATTTAAGGTGTAAATCTTCTGTTATATTACGTGTTGTTGAGACTGGTTAACAGAGAAACATTTTGATTTCTAGTTGTTTAAATGGTTCGATCCAAACCGCCAAGGACAACCCCCGAGTAGGTGCGTGTATAGTCATGTGAAAGGTACTGTGTTTGCATAGTCGGTGTCGTCGTAGCTTCCTGTGAGTGTGTAGTAGACGATGTCGAGGCTCACATTGTTGCACAGCTTGGACTCCACATGTGCGCCGTGATGTTGACATGCCAATAACATACTTTACCTTTCCCCCCGTCCTCAATGCCTTGACCAAGTGCCGAAGCGTACCTACTGCTTTTCTGCATTGCTGCATTTAGCTTTTTTCAATTCTTCCGTAGATAGACATTTTTCAAGGTTAAATATCATTATAAAACAATCAACATTTGGACATGATGCAGGCTGTAGAAGTCCTTTCCCCTACATATATCTTAGTATGTCCTATCCATTAACTCTGTATGCATATAGTATCACATAAAAAAAAAGACGAGGTCAGCGTCACATTATAGCATGAGAATTTAACTTTATTGTTTAACACTTGTGTCCTTGTAATAAGATCTTTTCAAAGGAAAGGAGAAACTGGAGGAGTCGTGGAGAGAGCATTACTGCAGCCTGGGGCGCCAGTGGCCTAGTGGTTAGTCCCCATATGTGGAGGCTGTTGTCTTTCAAGCGAGCGGCCTTGGGGGACAAACATATCCAGTTAGGATGTTAAAAAATCTGCCAAACAGAGAAACAGTCTTGTTAAAAAAACAATATTTCTAATTACATGATAATCATCTTACTATGAATACTCTCTTGGTGAAAAAAAACAGATTCAACAATTTCAATTTCAGCATCAACAAATGTCTGCTGTGTGGCTGCACATTTCTTCACCTCTGATTACAAATGAATAATAAACTACCTTGTAATTGTTAGAGTTCAGCAGAGTTACCTGGCTGCTGGGTTACACTGGGGACATACAGACATCGTCTCACATCTCCTGTGCTCTTACTGACATCGTTGCCAAGGATCGCTGTAAGTTTGTGTTTTTTTCTGGAGATGTGGATCCAGGCAAAGATGACCTTTACAACCTATAATTCTTATTTTTAGTAGTTCAGTCAGATAACTCTGGTTTGTATCGTTTAAAATATTTATTGCAGCAGAACATAGTTTGTGTTTGGCATCCTGGACCCCGACCTCATCACTCCTCAAAGATTTCATTTACAAGCAGAAACTCGAGGAGTGATGTGATGATGATATCTTAAACCAGTCGGAGTCTGCAGGTGGATGCTGGGGTGGTGGTGATGCTGAGTGAGAGTGCTGAACTGATGCAGGTCAAAGCTGGCAATGACAGAGCAAAGAGAGTGAGAGTGGGAATCCTGCAGCTTAAATACTCCGCTTACTGCACGGAGGTGTTGGTCAGGTGATAGTGGATAATGATGCATGTCATGTATGAACTAGCTCACAGGCGCCGCCTCATTAGAGGCAACTGAACAAAATAAAACAGTTTTGTTTCCGGGCAATTTCATCCAATCAGTCAAGAACCAGCCTACGTTCTTCACTCCTCTATATTCTGCAGAGGCGGTGATTTATTTATTTAAATGCTGTAATCAAAAATTTTCAAGCACAAATGCTCGGAAGCAACGCAGAAAAATGGAGATCCTGGAGAAGCAACACGGTGTTGTCATTTATATATTCTGAAAAGTCAAGAATACACCACAACTCTGATGATTCATTTAGGACTATTGATACTAAGATGAGGTCAGAAATCATTTCACAGTGACAGCTTTAAGGAATATGGCTCTGCTCGATTAAACACAGACCTAATTTACGTTGCAGTTTGTAAGTGAAACTTGAATCATTGGCATGTTAGTTCCTCATGTTTTATCTTTTGAAACATCTATTGAATAAGTTGTGTCACATGTTGTCATGTCAACATTAAAACCTGAATAAACAGAAAAGTCCAAACGTGTCCTCGGGTCATGCTTAAGTATTTATTTTTTCATTTCTATGAACCAGAAACAGAAGACACGGTGAAGTCCTGTATAGATGATAATAACATAACAAGTTTCTTTATTTTAAAGTATTTACATGTTTACATAGATACATACAGAAAGTGAAGTGCAAAACTCCACATCACAAAGGGTTCAATCTGAACTTTTTAACATCTTTATCTTTTATCTTTAGGGAACAAATGATCTGATGGCTCCAAGTTTTACTGACTCAAGCATCTTTCTGAGCCCAATGTGGTTATCTTACACAAAATAAAGTGATCAAATATGATACAGTCTTAGTTTGGGTTCACAGCAACACACTTACATTTTATGTAATCTAATGATGATCATATTTAAAGGATCAATCAGTAAGATGTGTAGTGAGTGAAATGATAAAGTGACCTTACTATATGATCAGACATTAAGGAAACATGCTATGTTGAAGTGCTGGCTTCTCTGACAACAATGCAGCAGCAGTATGTCCTCCTTCTAACTTTAGATTCTGCTCCTGAATGCTCTGGATTTGTTTGGACCAGAGAAGGTAGACGGTTTTAAGACATCCCCACATGGCCGTTTTGGACGCCCCTTGGTTTGCCAGATATGATGCAGAGCTGGCTAAACACTGAAGCTTCAGTGTCCACCACATGGCAACCTGCATGAGCATTGACTCTAGAGAGGAGGGGACGAGGGGAGACAGCTCTCTCTGATGTTTAGAATTTAGACCGCAGTACCCATTTTAAACACTAGGTTTCAGAGTTACATTTGCTCCTTTAAGTTTTGATCACCCTTAAAAAAATGGACTGTTGTGTGATGGTCCAGGACATCAAACCCCAAATCCATTTGCATTTGCAGTTGTGACATGACAACACAAGGGAAAGGTTCGGGGAGGGTTTATACTTAAACTTAATGAAAACAGTCCTTCTTCCTACCTAATAATAACAAAAACACATTACTGCATATCACTAATAATTTATCTAACTCAAAATGTCTTATTTTAAACACTTGAATAAAACTTGGCACTGACACAGATTTAGAGGACATGAAATGAATCCTTTCTGTTTTAAACTTCATTGAGTCTGTAGAGTGAAAAATAAAGATTGTATACATTTCCCTCCCCAATAAATAAACCAAAAAACACAACTGGTGCAGATTTTACAATGTTACAAATCAAATGTAACGTACAAAGAACAAGTAACCCAACACTTGTAAAATATAGTTCAATTAAATAAAACATCTCAGCAAGAAAAACGACATTTGAAGTTAAATCATTTCAGGTGCTTTTGCAGAAGATTTGTTAGTGAGTGATCTAAACAGAAGAACAGGTGTTTGTTTTTACACCCGGTGAAGAAACAAACACACCGAGACCAGATCCTGCACCGCCGCCTCTCAGCCCTGGCCATCAAATCATCTTCTATCACAAAAATTCAAAACAACAAAACTTTAAAAGGTAGAGTTAGTAGCTTTTTCCTAAAAAATAAAATACAGACTTCTCCTAAAGTAGAGCTGCTCCATCGTCCCTTCTGGTCACTCTGGTGGTGACTGTGTCTGCAGAGACTCTGTCCTCTGACTGGATTTTACTGTTCTGCTTTGTTTTGGTCGACTCTGGACATTTCTGGACGGGGAGCTGGTGTGTTTCCTCCAGCCAATGACAGTGCAGCAAGTGAGTTTAGGAGGGGGAATGTGACGGGTGCAGACGTTTGGGCAAAAAAGAGAAAATATAATCACAGTGAGGAGAAACACCAAGTGGATAAAGCTCGTTCTAAAACGAGAGTGAACCTTGTGTTGGTGTTTACCCGTGGATGTGGAGTTGGTCTACTTCCTGTTGGACAGGCAGGTGACAAACACTGGCGGTTAGCTTGTGCTAGCATGAGTTAGCTTGCAGTGTAGGTACAAGCAGTAAACGTATACATCTACATCCTGCAGGGAGGGTGAGCTTCAGGGGGCGATGAGCCCAGGAGGAGGAGGGGCTAGTTTGAATGTTGTGTTTACAAACTGCAACAAACATTTCTACTAACTCTACCTTTAAGTGATAACTGCAAGGCATTTTGGGTGTTCATTAAAGTCGACATTTGTTTATGTTTTAGTGTCTACATTGTGCACATATTCAAAAATGGAACTACACAGCTAAAATAACACTGAATCTGAATACAAACAGTTAAAAGCTCACATGTGACAGAGACTCTTCCTCTGTAAGTGAAAAAAAAACACCAAGCTACAGTTGGACTTTTAAAATATCAAAGTGTGATTCCAGAGATCCTCAGTTTGACTTGGATTTGATCAGCTGTACATTATTATTATTATTCTACTTCATACTCATAAAATGACAAACAGTGAATAGCTTGTGTCTTAAACAGCTGACAGTAGTGAAACATCAGAAACAGCCGACACACAGTGCTGACCCTGGTGTTGGTCCGCCCTCAGTGCTACGAGGTGGAAGACTGCGTGAGAAGCCGTTGTGCTGACAGTCAATAAAATGTGCTCACGTTGTGTATCTCTGTAAAGGGTAGTGCTGCTCCGTGTTGTTTTGTTTGCTGTTTATCTGTTAGCAGCAAGATTTCTTCTTCTCTGAAGAGCTGCTGACCAGCTGCACTGTCTTCTCCTTCTCTCTGTCCTCTTGCTCTTTAAGGATTCTGAGAGAAATAAAGATGCAGAGACAAATTCACTCCATGCTTTGAGCTAATAAAAAACAACTTGTACTAGAATCCAACGTGCTCATGCTTCAGCTGTGCTCTGCCTTTTTATTTTACATTTCATAAAACCTCCCTGCTTGTTTGTCATCTTTATGTGTATTTAATGCTGTTTGGCTGCATTCTCACAGCACCGAACATCCACCGGAGTGGATTTATAAAGTCACATCAAACTCTGGTGTTGCAGATGTACTGTACACAGCATTACAGCGTGGATAGACCACGCAACAACAACCAGAAGATTGGTGACAGTTCAAGCAGTTCAAAGCTCTAGAAACATATAAAATAAAAACAAAAATTGTGAAGCTAACTGATGTAAAGAACATTTAAAGGTCACATATTCTCCTCATCAACCAGTTTAAATAAGTCTCAGAGCTCCTCAAAACATGTCTGTGTAGTTTCTTGTTCTAAATCCACTCTGATCCTGTATTTGATCATGCCTATAAACCCCTCTATTTCAGCCCTGCTCAGAACAGGCTGTTTCTGTGTCTGTACCTTTAAATATGTAAATGAGCTGTGTCTGACCACGCCCCCTCTCTGGAAGGGCTTGGGTGGCTCGGCTTTCTCACTCCATGTCCTATTGTTTACTGTGAGAAGTCAGACTCAGAGGGCAGAACAAACACCTAGCTGTGGGAGTGTCACCCACCTGGGGGAGGAGTTACTGCCCTTTGTGATGTCATGAAGGGAAAATCTCCAAATGGCCTGTTTGAGCACACATTTTCTGAAAAGTGGAGCAGGCAAAAGATGGGGAGGATGGAATTTTCTCATCATTGGGCGTATGTAGATGGACTAGAGACACATTAGTGTTAGATAAACATGGTTAGGCGTATTTTGCATAATATGTGACCTTTAAATAACAAGAAAGTTTAGATATTTTTTGATGTCCATTGTAGTTATGTTTTATATGTATGTAATTATGTCTTTGTGCTTTTTTTAGGATGTGTGTTTCCTTTCTGGACCTCTGTTGCTAACCAAATTGCCCCTCGGAGACGATAAAGACTTTCCAATCCAATCCAATATATCACTTACCTGGCTAAATGCACCATGGACTCCACCACATTGTGCCCGGAGCAGGCGCTGCACTCATAGAAACTAATTTGGCCGTCCTGAAAGAAAGGTAAGAGATGATGATGATAATAATGAGGAAGCTGATGATGATGGCTATTCTCAACACAACAGACAAACAGTCTGTGAATCTGAGCCTTCATCATCATCTTCATCTCTAACGGCTGAGGAAGAAAAGTCAATTCTAATCTGTGCTTAAAAAAAAGAGACATTTTTCAATATAACACTATTGATTCACACGGTCACTATGGAAACCACAGTATACACCAGGGACGACAGGAATCCAAAACACAAAGAAAAGAAACTACTTTCTGAACCGTGACACTAGCAGACAAACAGTGCACACCTTGGCTAGTCTTTCTCCCACTCCTCTCTGAACTTCTCGCTCGCCCTCTTTGTCCGTTTTGTTTGCCAAGAGCATGATGGGAATGTCCTCGCCTGCGCTCTCCTGTGGAAGAAGAAAAATAAAGAGTACAGACTCAGAGAAACTAGAACTAAGAGACATCAGCTAACATAGTTAGCAGCCGTATTCACCTTCTACTGTCTTTATTACTAAAGTAAAGTTTGACTGTTACTGCTGTACCTTCACACTCGTCAGCCACTGTCTGACAGCCGTGAAACTCTGCTCGGCCGTGATGTCATACATCACGACCACACCGTCAGCCTTACGGAAGAACTGTTTGGTGATGCTCCGATACCTGCAGCAGCAACAGGAGGAGGAGGAGGAAGAGCAGGAGGAGGATAAGGAGGAGGAGGAGGAGGAAGAGGAAGAGAAAGAGGACAAGGACGAGGAGGAGGAGGAGAAGGACGAGGACGAGGACGAGGAGGAGGAGGATGAGGAAGAGGAGGGTAAATTTCACATACAGGTTACAAGTCCTTTTAAACGCCTGTGTGGCTTTTGTCAAAAGACAAAAAGTCTCAATACAAAATAAAATCACAACTAAGAAACTTTACGTTACGATGGCGTACAGAGTATCGTCATAGAGAAGGGGCCCCGGTGACCTCTGACAGAAGACAAGAGGTCTAACGGTCCAACAAAGACTCTTTATAAATGTGATCAAAATCTCTCCATGTCTCACCTCTCCTGTCCTGCTGTGTCCCACAACTGCAGCGCCACCTGGCTGCTATCCACGGTAATCGTCTTCACACTGTAATCTATACCTGCAGAAACAGAGAACAAAAAGTTGCTCAGCACTTTTTATTTTCATCATTAGTTATTGTAAAGTGTTCAAGCACCAGGACACATGAATGTACAAAGATGTCAATATATGAAAAGGTGTAAATCTAAACACTGATCAGAGTCTAAAGTCACTTTTTTAATGTGAATGTGTGGATAGGAAAAATATGCTCAGCTCACGTAGACAGCCTGAAACTATAACATGTTACATAATTGTGCTTTGTGAAACTTCAAACCTTTAAAAAAAAAAATAACTGGACAAAATGATTTCTGAAGGCTTCACAGAACAACCTTGACAGAAGTCTGACTATGTCTTTTTTCTTCGGTGCAGCACATCCTCATAAAATCTTACAACAGCCATGTGCTTTAAAGAACGTTTTAGTGGATTTATTTTCTACACAAGTTCTTTTGTGAATTTCTTTTCACTTTATTCTTAATTTAAAAAGAGGACAAGTATTTGAAGCTGTTCCCTGTGACCCTGCATGGAGTATTATTAACTATAAACAGTTATGGAAATATCTTGAAAAACTCCTGATATTTCCAGGAGGAGCTGTGTGTGAATGCAAACTGAAAATTCCTAATGAGCTGATGTGAGAACGCAGCAGGATATTCTCTGGATATTTCAGCTCGAGCCAATAAGAGGGGGGAGTGATGTTTATATCCTGTGACTGCTGCACGGTGCAAGTGTCTGCACACGACCACTACGATCTCCGCGCACATAATTAAACGGCTACATTAAGTTCTATGTTCTTCTCCACTCTTTAGTTCATATTATGATTCCGTTCAACTACAAGTAGGATTGATATTAAGGCAAATATTTTCATTATAGTGTCATGTAGTGGACTCTGTAGCTTAGTCTGCTTCTTCCCCTTCATTTTAGTACATCACGTCTTACATTGGGAGTCCCCCCGCCCCCCCTCGTGTCTGACAGGGAAAGTCCCCAGCTGTGAGAAGCATATGTAAACAGCCAGGTCGGGAGAATATCCGGAGCAGTCCTCCTGAAATCATCTAGATATTTTCAGGAGGGTATAACGACTTATGAATCATTATTGTTAGGCATCAAGTTTTTTGGACCTCCTTGTAGTCTTAGTGATGTAAAAGAAGAACACTGCTGCTTCTTTGAATGTCTCATTTCACTTTAACAAACTCTCAGACAGCTCAGCTGACGAGTCCAAAGTAATATCCACCTGATGACATCACACATTGACCTTATGACATCACACACTGACCTTTGTTACCGTTCCTTTGAGCTGTTTGACCTCAGTTTGGGATCCCTAACCACTTCCTGTTTCAGTGCTTAACTTCATGTCCTAACCTTCACTCTACCAGAAGGGCACTTACTGTATTTCAAAATAAAAGCAGGGTTGAATTCAAACAGCAAGTAAAGTACTCTCAGCTTAAAACAGTACACAATTTCAAAATAAAAGCCTAACAACTTTTAATTCTAAAATACGAAATAATGGATTTAAAACATACAATTTAAAAAGTGATTTTTAATCATTTAATAGTATTAATTTACTTACACTCTGCTTTATGTTATCAATAATTGTTTTTCTCTTCTGTTTGTAATTTTGTGTATTTACTGTTCTCTTCTAACTCTCATCATCACATGCATTTATTCTGTAAACTTTCCCTTCATTAGGCTGTACACCATCAGGCTCAAAACCATAACCCTCAACATCTTGTGCACAATCTAATTATCTTTAGGGAACAAGTAGGTTCATAAATTGTGTTCACAATCAAATTAACTTGTGCCCTTGTGATAATTATTTGCATTTTATCTGTGTGCATCACACTTACATACATACACACAATTGCAGTGTATCACAGTTCATTATGTTGTGCACTCAGTTGCCTTGAGTGCACAAGTTATCATCTCACTCACACGTTTTCCTATAATGTAATTATATTGTCTTCAAAGGAATAATAACTTGTTTGCACAATTTCTGAAACTCAACCTTCAGCGGCTCTGTACGCTTCTGTTCTGAGTATCAGGAAACTTCATAATTGACATTATTGTGAATCAAACTGTTCATTGAAAGGACAACTATTTAAAGAGACTCATAAAAACATCAAGTACAAAAACTTGGCCAGCGCACATGCCCATATATGGTCTGTACTTTGACTGCTGCCTAGTGCCTGTAGTCCCACTGAGGAACAATTCTCACATTTTATTGTTAAAACCAGAAACTACCTTTGAGTGCTCTGTAAGCAAACACTTTAAGCCCTGAGGTAAACCACAGGGCTGGGTGTGTTGCTGTCTTAGCTCACAGGGACTAAAGTGTGTGTTTGCTTTACAGTTGTCTCACATACCCACAGTGGCCAAGGTGCCAGGGTGGAAACTGTCGTCACAAAACCGCCTAAGAAGAGACGTCTTCCCTACACTGGAGTTCCCCACCAGGACAATCTTAAAGAGGCGGTCGGGCGGTGACGGACCTCCCTCCTCCTGCAGAAAGAAATCTCATTATGATCACAGATTTATTGCTTTCTTCATTTGAACACATAAATACAAGTACAGCTCATTAAAACTACAGAAGAATAACAAGAATGAAGAGTAAAGCTAACGTTTGTGTATTGTAACAGGAGAAGGATGAAGTCTACACTTCCCATTGTCTACTACTCAAGAACCTTTACTATGTTAACACCATATGGACTACAATGACTCTTTTTAAAACCCTAATATCCGCCCAATGTTGATAGCAGAACATAAGGCGCTTGGGGCTTAGTGGTTGGTGTGTGCTCAACAAGTGCAGAGACTGTAGTCCTCCAAGTGGGCGGCACCGGTTTGAATTTGCATAACATCTGAACAGCTACTAACACCTTTCCTCACCTCCTTTTTATATATTTTTTTTTTTTTTTGGGGGGGGGGCTTTTTGTGCCTTTATTGGAGAGATAGGATAGTGGATAGAGTCGGAAACAAGGGAGAGAGAGAGTCAGACTCGAACCTGGGCCGTCTGCATGGAGGACTACAGCCTCTGTACATGGAGCGCACGCACAAACCACTGTACAACCAGCGACCCCTCACCTCTTTACCTTCAGTAAAAAAAAAAATTGTGTATATTTTATTAAAGAGTATCATCGTTGTGATCTCTTTTTTCAGACACAGACCGCTCTACAAATCCACCAAACAGATTGTAATTCACTGAAACTGTTCATTGTTAATTTTGGTAAAACACTAATTTAGACAAGCTCATTGGATCTCTCTTTAAATAATGTATCGCTAGGAGGACCTGTTTTTGTGTCAGGGAGGCTACAGAAGAGTAATAAATAATGATATGTGAGCAATAATAACATGTCTCCCTCCTATACGAGTCTTCGTCCATCCTGTTTCCTTCAAAGTAAATTATCCAATATCCGCTTGCTTACACTTATGCTGGTCTCTTTGCCAACAGGCTGACCCCTCGGAGACATCGGGGTTTCACTTTTCTCTCCATGCTTGAAGGAGGATGCACCCGGGTAGATATCACTCATCATCAGGTCTATTTTCTCATCCTCTCCAGAGGCGTCCTCTCCTTCACTGCACTCCTGGAGCGGGCTTTGGGCCTGACAGTCCATCTGGAGTAAATGCGGGAGGTGGTCCTCCTCGATGGAGATGATCCTTTGGAGGTGTCCTCTGGTCCTGCACGACCCATTGGTCAGCATCTGTCTCCCTAAGCTCCTGGTCAGCTCTTCCTCATCCTCACTGCAGAGAGGAAATGTAATGATGGCCCTTACTGGACAAGGTTTCATCGACTTTGCATGTTAAGTGTAGCTCTGTGAATCTTTACCTTTTGAAGATGTTTGTATTTGAATGTTTCACAGCATTGATTGAAGGCTTCGGCTGCATTCCCGCTGTTGGCTTTGAATTCTTTGGTTGCTGCAGAATGAAACACGATGGGACGGTTTTTGACATCAGTGAAGCTTCAGAGCTTAATGTAAATGTTGCACTAGTCATACTTGGCCTGACTGAATCCTTTACCAAGCAGGAGCAGGCAAAATTAAAAAATATATCATAAATGAATTTCGATAAAGTATAGGGCACACACCTGATAACACATGTCCTTTTCATCACGTAAATGTTTGTTCATTTCCCTGAAAAACAACAAGACAACGAGACATAAAAATGAAGAACCAGATGTCTTGTAATAAAACCTTTAAGATGAACCACTCTAAAGATGTGAATCACGGACAGAGATATTATTGTAAATAAGAGCTTGATGAGTAATTCAGTTTTATTTATTTTTTCTCATTTGAAAAGGAACAGTGTTCAGCCAGTGTTGATCAACATTCAGACAAATGTAAAGGCGTTAACCAGAAGGCTCATTTTCATCTGCATTCGCTAGTTCTAATAAAAGGTCACATATTCTGTAAAATCCTCTTCACCATGTTTCTCTAACTCTAATATGTGTCTCTAGTCTGTCTACAAACCCCCCAATGATGACAAAAGTCCATCTTCTGCCTGCTCCACTTTTCAGAAAATGTGTGCTCAAACAGGCCGTTTGAAGATTTTCCCTTCATGACATCACAAAGGGCAGTAACCCCTCCCCCAGGTGGGTGACACTCCCACAGCTAGGTGTTTGTTCTGCCCTCTGAGTCTGCCTTCTCACCGTAAACAATTACTTGTGACAAAAACTGCACACCAGTGGTAAGTTCTTTCTACCCAAATGAGATAAAAATAGTGTTTAGATGAAGAAATGTATTAATGATTCCAGTTGCTGACAAAAGAAAGGAACTTGAGGAATCTGTGATTTCACATCATAAAACTTGAACCCCTAAAGGCTTGTTAATTAATTATGTAGTTGTTTTGTGTTTGTTTTTCTCTTCTCTTGATCCAAACCTCAAAAGGTCCAGCTGGTTGAGGAGGCCTGCTCGCTCCCGCTGCAGTCCCTCTGTCAGTCTGTAGATTTCCCTGTGAAGAACAACCATGAATCCATTAAAACAAACACTTTATAACTTAAAAAGCCAAGTATTTGCTGTGGTTAAACTTAACCAAATACTGAACAGCAACATGAGTTCTTAGTATGAGAGTGAAGGCATTTCTCTCCCTGTGTGCTCTCTTTAAGAAACAGCTTCTGAAAAATTATCGGGAGTATATCCTTAAAAATGTGCAATAAATCAGTTTTGAATACTGTTCAAACTCACATCTCCTTGTCCTCATGGAGCTGTGTGGACTGCTCCTGCAGCAGACTCAGCTGGTCCTGAGCTAACATCAGCTCCTGGCTGGTGAGCTCCAGCTCCCGTGCTAACTCGTCATTGGTCTGTTTCAGCTTCACGTTCTCCACCTTGGTCACATGCTGTTCACTGTGAAGGTCGTGACACTGACTCTCCAGCTGGAGTCAGAGAGACAGACGGAAAAGTCACAGAAATCACAGTGAAGAGATTTAACATACAGTATTTCATATTGTGATAAACATTACTTTTCAAACTGGCTATGATGTGTTCAGGGTCCCAGAGGCCTACTTTTGTTCCATAAATCCCTTTAATGCGATTAATACTGAGCACAACTTCAGGAAATGCTTTTAAAGCCTTGCCTGACTGTGAACGGGACACTTGTTAAACAGCTGATGTATTAATTAGAAATGCTCCGAGCTGTGAGGAGAAGAAGTTCTTGTTGGCGTGAGCAGAATAAATTTCCGTTCACTAATTAGCCTTTAAAGCTTGAATGTCAGTCTGTAAATGGAGGTGAAACAGAACCTATTAACATCCATCAGTACACAATCACAACAACAAGACGAGCTGCTGCTGCAGGAGAAGAAGAAGAAGCTCAGTGGAGAAGTACTGATTAGCTCGTATTAATGAAGCTGACAAATCAGAGACTCCGTATAACTGAGTGTTAAAGGAGGTTACTCCTGCTGCTGTCGGCTTTTTCATAGGAGCTCAAGCAACAACTTTGTTTGGACATCCATATATTTCTTTTATTTCATATTTTATATTCTTTTCTCTATATAGACAGTGTACACTTGTGTAACACATGGTTTCAAAAAGGTATTAACAATTCTTAATTCTTAAAGGTGTAGAATTCTGTAGAATCTGTAGAATTTTTACACTAAAATATTAAATTAATCAAAAATGGACTAAACCTATGTTGTAAACAACTTTTATTTTTAAAATACAAAATAATGGAGTTTCAAACATGCAATTTAGTGATTTTAAATCATTTAATAGTATTAATTTACTTACACTCTGCTTATATTATCAATAAGTGTTTTTCTCTTCTGTTTGTAATTTTGTGTATTTATTGTTCTCTTCTAACTCTCATCATCACATGCATTCATTCTGTAAACTTTCCCTTCATTAGGCCGTACTCCATCAGGCTCACAACCATAACCCTCAACATCTTGTGCACAATATAATTATCTTTAGGGAACAAGTAGGTTCATAAATTGTGTTCACAATCAAATTAACTTGTGCCCTCATGATAATTATTTGCACATTAAACCTATGTTGTATATATTTTTGTTGAGTACTTACATTATTAATATTTCCAACAGTTATCAAAGCCAGTAAAATCTCAAATTTTATAAATTTAACTGCCCATGTCTTACAAGGCGGCCACCATGACAGAGCCCCCATGTTTATCGTTGCCATGGAAACACCAGACGTTAACGTCAAAGACCGCTGCAGTGGAGCTGCTACTGAAAGCTGCCGTACTGATGCTGTGATAAAACACGTAATGTAAATTAAACTCGGCTACATTAGCTTGTCGGTAAACATAATCTCGTTCTCAGGTCAGTTTCGCCTGGTTGTCTTGACTACGGTCACCGTGGAGCTCTCGGGGGTGGAGTAGCAGATAGAACTCCCATGATTCCCCTGACAGACTCAATGGCCCTTTCTGAATAGCCACAGTTCAGTAGGCAGTACTTTTCAGTAGGGAGGTTCAGTATACTGAACTCTCGTGGTCATTCAGTATGCATTTTTTGGGTCCACCTCAGTATACTGAACATTTCAGTATGAATACTAACTTCCGGGTTTTATGCAGTATGGATCGGATGCGTGCTTTCAGGAAATGAATTGGATTTTACCACCCACAATGCTGTGCGAAATTAAACGTAAATCTTCACGTCACGTGTGCCTCCAAATCAAAACAAACGAGCATGGATTAATTGAATCAATTTTTAATCTAGAGTTAAAGTCCCGACTGAAATCACTACTTTAAATTAACAACAGAAAATATAACAAATGTCTGCATTATTATAAAACCTTTCTCCCTCTATTTAAATAATGATTTCACTATTTAAATATGTCTTTATTGGTTTATTTTACTTTATATTCTGTATATTTCTGTCTTTCATTTGTACTTTCCTTTATGGAGGCTACTGTATGTTATTTAGTTATTTAATCTGTCTTTTACTTGATTTACATTGTGATATTGTTTTTTTGTTTACCTGACTGTATATGCGCATTACTCTTCTTGAATAAAACTAAACAAAAACCCCCCAAAAAATGGGTGAATGCGGCCGGTTCGGGTAACGTAAATGACGTCACTTCCATACTGAATGAATCAGATGAAGTAGGAACAAATATCTGCCTATTGTGCGCGCCTACTGAATAGTAGGTACTAAACAGTATGCAGCACAGATAGTACGTACTGCCTACTGCCTACTGACAGATTGAGTAGGTACTTGGTAATTCGGATACAGCCAATGTCTTCTTTTGTTTTTGTTTTGATTGAGCGCCCCTTGGTGGTGGAAAATACCTACTCTGCGTTTAATGCTTCTTCTGTGTAATGATCTCATCAAGTTGTTCTTTTGTTACTGATTGGCGCCTGAACAAGTGAGGACATGTTTTTGCAGGACTCTGGACACAGAACTGTGAAATCCTTTCACTCACCCTCCTCTGTTTCTGAAAGAGGTGATCCAGCTCCTTCTCCTTACGGGACAGCTGCAGCTCCAGATCTTGACTGCGAGACAGAAAGCGCTCATAGTCCTTTAACGCAGGAACCAAAGACGGGGACAACATATGAAAGGTGATCAGCTGGACAAAGATCAACAGTGTTTGATCAAATTACCAAGAAGAATTAAAAACCATGTTTGTCTTCACTGACATGTGTGTACCTGCAGCACAATCCTGTCCTTTTCATTTTTGATTTGTTGCTCCATTTCTTCGTAAAGCCGTTGGATCTCATCATCGTGTGTAGCTGCTCTCCTGTATGGAGGAAATCTTTTGTTTACAGTTCATTACTTACAATAAGCATGCTGATGCTTTCCGTTAAGTAACATTACGGTGCCCATTCATACTGTATGCTGTAAGGAACTGCAGCTGAATGTATTATTCAGATACATTCATCTACTACATACAAACAGCGTCTTTAAAGAAGAAGCACAGTGAGGACATATATATATATATATATATATATATATATATATATATATATATATATATATATATATATATATATAATGATCGGTCAGATTCTCCTAATTTGAGGCCTCAGAGCATTAAAAAAAACCCTCATAATTTATGCAAAATCTACTTTGACTTAAAATCAAGTAAAAAGATGTCTCCCCCAGACCTTTTCAGGGCGCTCTCCATCTCTCTCTTCTCCCGGTTGGCCTCTATGATCTGTGATGTCACTCTGGCCAGGAAGTCCTCAAAGTTGGTTAAAAGGTGAGGTTCATCCCGCCGCAGCTGAGCCCACAAACTGCGCACCTCAGCAGGACTGATGGGACAGAGAGAAGTCAAGGTGTTTAAGGACACTTATGGTCCAGAGGTTCATGGGAGGGATTTACTTTTCTTATTCAAGAGATTGCCATTTATAGGAACTCTGTCTGATCGATTTGATTGTTTACAGTCCAAGGTGGCTTCAGGAGGACATGATGTTCTTTCCTTTGATAAATCCATAGAACCAAAGCAATCAGAAGTTTAAGGTTTTAAAGTCTGCAACACATGCACAGGACACTCAAAACAGAGTGATCAAAGTCTTTAAATACTAATTTATATCTGCTGGGATGACAGATATGTCTTTATTATGTGCACACTAGAAACAATGTTACGTGGCTGCAAGCTTTTATAAAGTCCTTACAAATCCTTGTTAGAGTTTTCAACAGTTACAAGTTCTTCCTCTCAGGTCGACATCAATATGTGTCAGTGCTGCACAGACTGATCGGATGTGAAACGTCACCCTGATGGACAGAGGCCAATAGGATGTGTAAATCTGGCCTCCGCCTCCACCACTGTTCCCTTTTATTGAGCTGGAGTTGTTTGTTAAAGGTGAGTCTAGTCATGCATCATTAGATCCTGTCATCAGATGTCTTTCTGTCTGTCAGAGAAATGTCCAAACAGTCCTCAGCTACAGTTACTATAGAGACACCACTGCACAGACGATAAACAAGACTCTTTTGGAGAATTAAAGAAAGCTTCACCTTTTGTATCCAGTAGATGTGGCCCTTAAACACCAGCATTAAACCAAAACAAACTGCTGTTTGGCCACACCTCCTCCATACTGAATCCTTCGCTCTCCTCCAGCAGCACACCTCCAACCCCTCTGCAAAGTTTGCTGCATGTGCACTTATCAGTGGGTCATATAGACTTAATCCCTGCTGTATTCACTAATCTGCAAGTTCAATCTGCAAAATTGTAACTTTAAAAAAGGCCCAACGATTGAGCCCTGGGGAACTCCAATTGATACTGTTAATTCAGTAAGTATGGCTGGTTGCTTTATCCACGTTTGTCCCTAATAAATATGCATATTAAGGTCTTATTTCTGATTGCTTGCATGCATGGAGGACAAAAAAATTAAAGTTTACTGCATATTTGAAAAAAAATGTAAAAGAGAGAGTGACATTTACACAGGATATACTTAATTACTGCTGTATTTATGTGTAAAATGTTGCACGTTCTTCCTTTAAAGTGTGAGTGTTGGTATTGAAACTTAACGTTAAAACATTTTCTATCAAACACACTTCACCTTTCAGCAGCCCACAAACAAGAGAGACGGCAGAGATTGTTCAGAGAGAAAACACAGGAACAGCTCTGCTTGAGTGGAAAGTCTAATTTCGTTTGCACAGCTGATTAGAGTCTCAGGCTAGGTCACTGAAAGGTTCCACGGTGTGTAAGACTTCATGTAGGTGTTGACAAAGTGGGAAAAGTACACCTAACTTTCCTGGCATCAGAAGCAAACACACATTTAGAACTCACTCTTCAAAGACACTGTTGGCTCCGAGGTTCTCCATCAGCATGCTAAAGTGTTTCTCCTCTTCATCTTCGTCTCCTCTTGCCGGACTCTCCTCCCACTGGCTCTGGTACAGGACCTCTGTGGGACTTTTACCTGGGTTTTTCTCCCCCATGTCTTCATCTACAGCAACCTTCTGGCCGAATAAAAATTCACCTGGAAGAATAAAGAAGTGCACAATCAGAACGTGAGGCTGCGCTCACTGTACTGTTTTAACGGACTGAAAACGTACTGAAGCCGGAGGAGAACTCGTTGAGGGTGAGGAATCCATTGCCATCAGAATCGAGAGTATCAAACACCTTCTCCAGTTCTTCCGCACTGAGAGGGAGTCCGCTGTTCAGCCTCTATTAAAAAAAACACAAAACACAGCTGCTACTGGCAAGAACAAAGACTCAAGGCCATTAACTCAACAGTAGCTATAACAACTGCTGCTGAGGGTCATAGACAGTACAATGACACAAACATATTAAGTAGTCAGAAATAGACTCAATTAGCCCTCATAACACAGGATGTCAGTCACATGCTAAATAAGCCCTTTGTCATTCTTATTTTAACACTTCACCCAGAACTCTTAGGCATGGTCACCGCAGTCTTTCTGAACATAAAGATCTGTATGCAGGAACAGGAAATCTAAGTGTGAGAACAATATTAAGTTAACAGTATGATTATGTAAAACACACCACACCATGTTTCTTTAACACTCATATGTGTCCCTAGTCTGTCTATAAACCCCCCAATGATGAGAAAAGTCCATCCTCTCCATCTTCTGCCTGCTCCACTTTTCAGAAAATGTGTGCTCAAACAGGCCGTTTGGAGATTTTCCCTTCATGACATCACAAAGGACAGTAACCCCTCCCCCAGGTGGGTGACACTCCCACAGCTAGGTGTTTGTTCTGCCCTCTGAGTCTGCCTGCTCACTGTAAACAATAAGGCATGGAGTGAGAAAGACCATGCCAATCAAGCCCTTCCAGAGAGGGGGCGTGGTCAGACAGAGCTCATTTACATTTAAAGCTACAGACACAGAAACAGCCTGTTCTGAGCAGGGCTGATATAGAGGGGTTTATAGGCATGATCAAATACAGCATCAGAGTGGATTTACAACAAGAAACAAGAAGACTTCTTGAAGTTTAATGTAAGAATGTATGATCTCAATAAAAGATCAATGTTGACATTATACACACAAGTCAGGGTCCGGTGGCTTTCATTTCTATAAAGTTCCTTAATTCTAACATTTATAAACAGTAATGAAGACAGACTTTGTAAACCTGGTGTAACACTGAAAATGTGTCAGACACCCATCCTCATCGTCGGCCACACAGTGCTTCACACTCACAGAGTTAAACACATGAACAGCTGGGGTCTTCCCACTGCTGCTGCACTCTTTAATGTTTGTACTCTGTGCAGCTTTACTGGCACAGATGTTTGTTCATGTTTGATTTTCAGGAGCCCTTAAAAGATTATTTCAAGCACCCTCGGAAATTAAAATAACAGGAGAAGAGTGATGGTTATTTGTAGAGGAGGAGACACTTTCATCAATTGGGGCTTTGCAGCACATTAGTGGTGGCTGGAGGCCTTAACCCTCATGCATCACTATGGACACTTTTGTCCATTTGGTCAAATTTTACCTTTTCATCTGGCCATAATTTTGTCTGTGTTAGTGCATATGGCACCATTTTTTTTTAAGAAAGACTCTCTCTTGACAACTTTTGGAATGCACATTTTTTTAATAGATCAATAGAACACTTGGAAACAAATTAACTACCCTCTTTAGTCACTAAGGACAAAAAACTGCTATAAAAATAGAACAGATTCATATTTTTTCTACTTTTTTCTGCATACATCTCTTAAACAACTTCAGCCCTGCTCAAAACTACCAAACATTCAATCATTTTTAGGAATTTAACCTTTTAAATGCCAGTTTGATTACTTAATGTCACTGTTGTTTATTATGAAAAAAAAACACAAAAATTAGAATCATGTAATCAAACTGGCATTTAAAGGGTTAAATTCCTGATAATTACTCAAACAGGGAACTACATTTTAAATCTGATGCTACAAAAACTAACAATGAATCAAAGTCAATATTTTGGATAATCGTTGACATATCCAAAACTTATTTGAAAAAAATCCCCCAGCCACCAAACACATTTTTTGTGTTTTTTTCTTAAATAACAACAGTGACATCAAGTAATCAAACTGGCATTTAAAGGGTTAAATTCCTAAAAATGATTGAACGTTTGATAGTTATGAGCAGGGTTGAAATTGTTTAAGAGATGTATGTAGAAAAAAGTTGAAAAAAATATCAATCTGTTCTATTTTTATTGCAGTTTTTTGGCATGGACATTTTTGTCCTTAGTGACTAGAGAGGGTAGTAAATTAAACTGATGCCTGAGGGTTAAGTGGTGCACTCTGATAACAACCAACTTTCTTTTTTCATGTTACAGGCCCAAATCCAGCTTGTGAATACATGGAGCCTTTCCATATGGATATTAAAGGTTCAAAACATATAGCTGATCATTATCTTGATCATGGCCTTGAGGTGTCCATGGTTCCTTTTCTCATCTATTTCTGGTGTGTTGTACTCCTTTGAAAACTGTTTCTTAAGTTCAAGGCAGGTTTATTTTTCGATAACACATTTCAGCAACAAGGCGATTCAAAGTGCTTCAAGCATGACATGAAAAGCGTCATGACTAATGGAAAAAGAAACATTAAAATGACTAAAACAAACCATTCACAACTATCACAGAGAATATTAAATTCTGAATGTAGTGATGTTATCTTCTCTGAGCGCCTTTCAATGTTATATTGCTCTAACGTCCCCAACTACTAGGGCTGAGTATTTCTCACAACCCCACGATACGTATCATGATAGAGAGGCCACGATACGATACATATTGTGACTTTTAAGATGTTTTCTATACTGATTAGAACTGATTATACTGAACTGCCGTCAATGTTGTGCTTTGCCTCTGTGCAATGCCTGTCAGGACCTGTGTGTCCAATTGGACTCAAAGCTGATCGTTTGCACTAACTGACATTGTTTCCTCTTTTCTAGATCCTTGCTTGTGTTGTACTTGTTCTCTGATGTACGTCACTTTGGATAAGTGAATTGTAGAATTGTAAGCAAGGCTAAGTAATCTTTATGTGTGCCTAGATATTGAGAGTATATTTTGTTCTCAATTGTCATTGTTTGTAACAACATTGTTAGGAAACAGACCACAATCTGGTTCCCCGCCCAAGTAACATCCAGAAGAAAACTTAGAGATTAGAGAATTTCTGACGGTGTATTTGAACCGTGCATATGAAACAACTTAAATACATATTTGATTTCTACTCTGTCCTTATTAACTCGTACAGTTTGAGATATCAAGTCATTCTCGTCAACCGGACGCACAGTGTCAGCACATAAATTGTCAGTTTTGGTTGTGCGTAGTAGTCTATTCAGTCGTACTATGACCTGAGACACAGACACTGAAGCAGATTTTAAAAAACGATATTGAAAATAATCAATCATCCTGCTGATGGTGTCGTTGGATTTTGTAGGTCATATAGAGGCTGTAGTGTTATTTTCAGCCTGCTTCATAACTAGCTAAAAACTCCTCAAGAGCTTTAGGGTTAATGTTTATGTACGCTTACATTGTTTGTTGCAAGAAGAGGAAAAAAAGAGTTTATACAAAAAGGACATGACAGTGAGTTCCTCCAAAGAAAACCGTCTGACCATGACAGAAGCTGCCAGACCATTGACAAAAAAAAACAACACAGCCACACCTCTGTTGGCAGCTTGTGTTTTTTATGCAATGTTTACAAGGCTGCAAATGTTGACGGAGGCTGCCCAGACAATCCAGGGGAGGGACGGCTCCTGTGAATCAGCTGTTCTTGTAAAGAGTGTTATCTGGGCTCAACATATCCCTCATGTCAGCAAACAGAAGAACTGTAAAGCCAGCGTGTTTGTGGTCATGGTGTCAAACTCACACTTCAACTGTAAGGATAGAGTGAAATGTTGTGAGTAAAAATTTGATGTAAGCGAAGCCAGTGGTTTGATAACAGTTGAGAGATGTCTGGAAAGTGTCACACTAATTATTTACACTATCAGGTGCTGCTTTCAGGTACAGATGGACATCTTCAGCACAGATGGTCTGTTTTAAAAAAAAAGAGACCTCAAAGAATGGACCTCTGTCCTTCTCGCTGTCTAATTTCCAATCCATTATCATAAACAGCAGATCAAAGTGTATTTATGCTGCGTGCGAGAGCCTACAAGTGCTTCATCAAAGGATTAGCCGCGGCTGGGACCAACATCCGAGGGCCGAGTGAATCTGCACAATAATGCGAGTGGAGGAGTTACATGACAAAGCTTCTGCAGGGCTCTCTGTGACTCAGTCTCTTTTATGCCCTGTTGAATACGGTGCACATGTTCTATCCATGTCCTGCCGAGACTCATTAAGGAGCCTGCAGACTGTCCCTCTGTAATGTACTCATTCAGTTTCAATGAGGGGGTTTTCATCTCTAGAAAAGGTGACAATATGAAAGTGGGGACAAAATTGTTCCTATCAGTGAAGATACTTTGTCTATAAGAAGTCCCTGAAAGCAGTTAAAGTGAGTCACAGTGTGTTTCAATAATTATCAGGCCCTTAAATGTAACATTTTCCAACATTAAATCACTGAAGTTCTTTTATTCAGTAACTTTCATGTAGCAGTGCTTCGTTTTGTTCTGATTTGAAATCTCAGCAAACTCACCTGCATGTCCCGTCGGGTGATGAAGCCCTTATTCTCGATGTCACACATCTGGAAGAACTCATGGGTTTTCTCCACAACTGTACTTTGTCCCACATCCTCCTCCTCCTCGTCCTTCCCATGCCTTTCCCATGCAGCCGGGGCCACCGCGGTGGTCGTGGCGGTACCACACGCAGAAGCAAAAGCCGCCATGGTATTTGTGAGTCTGTTGATCTGAGAGCGTTTTCAAGCGTCCTTCACATGAGCCAGGTGCACAGAGAGGTGTGGAGGAAAGAGATCCTGGAGGAGTGGGAGCTCCACGCTGCTCGACATCAGAGGCTCTCACACATGTCGCCGATTGTCATCTCTTAGCAACCAGCTCTTTAATAAGTCGATGAAACCTAGGAGAGAGGCAGAGAGGAGAGAGTCTTCAGTTTGAACATGAACAGCCCTTTGCAACATTAAACAAGTAAAAAATATTATTCAAAAAGTAGGTCCTGCTTCAACATGTCACTGAACGAACACTCTAGAAAAGGTATATGTGTTTTGACCTCATGAATGGAAAGAACAAAATAAATGTTACCATCTTTAGTGCTTAAATCTCAATTACACATGCATGATGAAGAATTAAGAGACTTGTTATAATTTATTTTTCATTCTCAGCTTGCACTGTCTCACTTTGAAGACGTTCAGACTGAACTGTAAGTGTCCTCAATTAGTCTCCATGATGATGCTAAGAGGAAAGGGAACAGCTCCTTGATCAAAAGTACAACTCTTACACTTCATTTTGAAAGATTTAATTTGAAAAACCTGACAGCTGTTGCTGCTTCCTGTTTTATGTGAAGCCAGCACAATGCAATGCACTTCCAGGTTTACGACAGCTTTGTGTACCCTTACTCATACTACCAACAACAACAATAACATTATTGGATATGATGTAAAAATATCAGAATCAGTATCGGTACAGGAATCGGATCAGAACAGAAAAAAAGTAGATCAGTGCATATCTAGTTACGATGCAACTGACTGAACTCAACTTTATTCATACAGGACCTTTCATATGACTACAGTTTAAACTGTTGAGAAGAGATAAAAAAAATTAAAAAAAACATTAAACAGTTGTAATTCAATAAACAGTGTATTTTTTAAGTCTCTAATTTCCTCTTAATACAAAGAGTGTTTTGTTTTCATTTGTAGTTCTGAATGTTTATTATTCTTCTCTTACACAAACTATCACTCTGATTAAATAAAGTAGTAAACGGTGATACTGTGTGCTGCATACCCACACCTGCTGCTTACTCCTCCTTCAGAGACTAATTTTATCTGACAACTGATCGCGAAACTGACAGAAAGTTGTGTGACGATGAGGAGGGTGATGTCTGCCTGGAAATATTGACTGATGTAACTCACTCGGAGGATGGTTTCATGCATACTTCACTATATGTGCACTGGTTTGGAAGACTGCCTAGAACATCAGGCTGTGTGTGTGTGTGTGTGTGTGTGTGTGTGTGTGTGTGTGTGTGTGTAAATCTAGACATGCTGTACTGGTATAAGACAGACAGGAAACACAGATATGCATGTAGGCAGGTAGAAGGTCAGCGGCCAAAACAGAGTCTGACATAACACGCACAGCCTCTTTTTTACTCAAAGAGGCTGTTGCTGCTGCACTTGGTCCTGCCAGAGCCTGCAGAATAAGGGCACAGAAGAGGACAGCTGCTCTCCATAATAATAGTGATAAAATGGCCACTAGGGGGCACTGTTTTCGATTTACGTGAGCAGCGATGCCATGTAGCCTCTGTGCTTAAAGGGCCCATATTATGCTTTTTTCTGGTTTTATATGCCCTTTAGTGTGTCCTGTGCATGTTTAGGCACATCTATGTGCAAAAATTCAAAGTCCGTGGAAATGCGGCTTCTCCTACCTCCTCCTGTTAGCTGTAGCATTAGCTGCATGTAACGCTCGGTTCTAGCCCCCCTCGATAAAATTGTGTCAGTGCGGCGTCATTGTCAGTGTGAGATCACTGATCTAAGCCCATTGGCTCGTTGTGGCAAGCCCTGCAGCTCATGTTGAAATTTCCAAGAAGCGTGCTGAGCAACTGACCAATAACGACAGAGCGGATCGGCAGACCAATCAGAGCAGACTTGGTCCACGTGGGGTCTAACAGTGTGGGCTCAACAGAGCGTAGCTGACGGACTCAGAGTGTAGAGGGAGCAAGGAGGAGCAGTACATGAAAACAGACACTTTTTTTGGACTTTAGCTATTGTGAACGTACAAAAGTAGGTACATAGATGATATATGAACCCCAAAAAGGGCAGAATATGGCCTCTTTAAATCCTCTGAAGCCATCAGCTGAAAATATCTGGACAGTTTTATCCCGGTTAGCCTGAAAGTCAGACGATGTGTACTCGCTGCAAGCCCCCCCAAGGGGGTTTGGCCTTAAAGTACGTCGGGTACTCGCCCTGTCCTTGCATCATCAGGTTCTGTGACACAACATCTTCGGATACAGTGATGGTCTGGGCCACGAGGGACACTGCCACTCCTGCCACCACTGACATTCATGTGGTGATATAAGCCTGTCCATATATGATCAGCAAAGGGTTTTGAATAAAAACAATTAATCTAACATTTCTACTACGCTCTGAAATCTCAATTTTTTTTGGAATGTGTCATGCTTCAAGTCTAAACATTGTGCAACACAATACAAGCATGACAAACCTCACGAGTAAAGTCACAAACCACAGTGAGTAACAGTCGAAGCTGAAGCATGAGAGAGGAAGTAAGAAAAGGAACTAAGATGAATTTGTATTGGGAAAGAGTGATGTCGTGTTTTTGTCTCCAGGCACAAGATAATACATAATATACTGTCTTATCTACACAGACCGTCCTGTTGGCCACAAGCCATAGACAGGTTTATGACTCCTCTGTTGAAGCTTGGTGAGTGCGTTCAGACAGGTGGCCAGTGTGACACATGAATGTGAAGTTTAAACACATCTGGCACATGATGATTTCACACTTATTGCTCAAACTTAGTCAATAAATTACAATCAATTAAAAGTTAAGGGAGTGAATTTACTTGAGCTAACTGCTTTGCATACAGTTCCCTTATCAGCTTCAGTGTTGGACATGTAGCAGCTGTCAGAGCTTCAGCACTCACGACCGGCTGCATGCACATAATGTTCAAGCTCAATCAAAAGCTGTGTTTAAAGTTGGCCTGCACAATATGAAAAACATATAATAACACTGTAATGGGATAACGATATGAAGTGTAACAAATTACTATTAAAGAAGAATGTGAATGTTTTTTGGGGACTCTTATGCCGAGTGATAGGACAGTCACATATAATTCTACAATTCTACAATTTACTTAGCAGATGCTTTTATCCAAAGCGACGTACATCAGACATATAGAATTGGATATCAGGGACAGAGAGATTGGGGAATAACATGCAGGAAAGGAGCCACAGGTTGGATTCAAACCCGGGCTGCCCACTTGCGGGTCTACAGTCTCCGTACAAGAGGCATTCACAAACCAATCGGGTAGCGGCACCCCCTAATTTTCTTTTTTAAACCAGAGGGGGCTATCTGGTTTTGGATTCTCTTTTTCAATGTCAGCCAAAGCACTTACTGGTGTCACTTTTTATAAAGAAAAAGTATACAGTATAGTACTCGTAACTATAGTTACTAATACATACTTTTTCTTCATAGTTATAAGTATATTTTCTTAATTTAGAAGTTGTGTAGAAATTACTTCTAAATTACAAAAGTGTTACCTACATCTATAAAGAAAAATAAGAAAAAAGGGATATTTAGAATTTTGAGAGAATTGAAATGAAATAATCATATTTATGAATAAATTGATTTCAATCTAATTTCTTTGTTAAATTGGAAAACTGCTAAAAAGTGATACAATGATACATTAAACACATCATCATATCGTGAGTTAAGTACATCTTTACATCCCTAAGTCTCTAGATGTCAAAAGACTCTGGGCTATTGAAGAGACACAGTGTAAGCTTTGTAGCACGCTGCCATCTGCTTCTGGTTTTCGTTTTCTTACATCTTAAAGTAAGATCTTTAAAACTGGAAGAAAATATAGACATCATGTTTTCTGATCTCTCTAAAAAAGGCTCCAGGCTGTTGAAGTCACTGATTTCACCTTGGAGAGTTTATGAGGAACACAACTACAAGAGGCCCCCCTCCCCGTCTTTGAATACACGTTTAAAAATATGTTCAAAGTTTTAATTTGACTCTACTTCCTGCGCAGAGGTTATGACCATAACCACAAACACTCGCAGTGACACATCAGCCTCCTGCAGCAGCAAAGAGGTAGGAGCCACTGAATAAATGAACAGTTACATGTCGAGTAAAGAGAAGCGATGATTTTAATACATGAACAAAAACAATATTACGTAAAGAAGCGATGATTGTGGTGAGGTCGTGAACACACGTGTTCATTTCCTTCACAATGGGCACACTTCTTTTATTGTCAAACTTCCTGGAGACAAACCCTCTTTGACACCTAGTGCGTGAGTAAACCTCTCACTTTAACTAAAGTAACTTCAGTTTTAAAGAGCTGTGAAGTGAACACCTCGCAGACAGCTGGTGGTTACCGTGAAGCTAACAGCAGCAGTTAATGAGCAGACAGGTCGGTCAGGTGAAATAAACGCTACAGGTGCAGTTAGCGGACTTTAAGGGGATAAAAGTCAGAGACCTACCTGTAAATGAAATGTGAAGTCCAGGTTGGAGGAGTTCATTGACTTCTTCTGTGTCGGCTTTCTTCTTTTCATATGTCGAAACTGTTTAGGAAGTCTTGAACTGTGTGAGTGCAGGAATGTAGTTGAACACTGACGGGGCAAACTTTTGTGGGAGGGAACGTCATCGTGCGTAACCATAGCAACGGTAACCAGGAAGTGCACATGCAGGAAGTAAACAAGAGCACCCGTTTCTTTCTTTTTATTTTCGTGTGTTACAACTATTTTTCACCTCATTAACACAATGGAAATACAATTAAAGTAATTATTTGAACAAAGCCTGGGGTCATTTAAAACCGACTTTTCACTGATGCCGGGTGGTTGCTCATTGGCGGACTTTAGGGCATTTATTAAAAATGTGCATATTTTACCCATTGATGTAGGGTATGTACACAAATAAACTCAAATTAAAACCATAGTCATGAAGTGAGATTTATGCTTATTTTAGGGTAAAATCAAATCAAAATAAAACATTTTCAATGTTTGTTTGTAATTTTTTCAATTGGGTAAAATATTTTTATCATAGTAAATATTTTTACTTTGTTATTATTATTTTCTTTCAACTTTGTTTAATCTCTTAAAGTGAGGTTTTCAGATAAGCCCTCATGGGTTCCTACCTCACCGTCACCTGCACATGTGTTTTATTTTTATTTATATTTTTTGCTGTTTGATACTTCTTTCAAAAATGTGCAAATAAACTAAACTAAACTAAATGTGTAAAAATAATCCTCAAGTATTTTCACATGGCAGCAACAATTCTGCTTTCACAAAGATGCATTACATTTTGTATGTGCACTTAGTGCTAAACTGAGTAGGCCTACACATACATGGAAATTACTTGTATTATGTGTATCATTTCTTACAATAAATTACTTTATAAATATTTTTATGTTGTCGTATTCTTCTGTGTTGTTCAGAGTTATACAGAGCTTTGTACAGAGTTATACGCTTCTACAATCTCGAAGGGTCAGTGGGGGTCCCCAGTCTCTGGCACCCTTACTTTAGGGGTCGCAAGCTGAAAAGTTTGGGTACCACTGGACTAAAGGGTCTTATAGGGCTCTGTAAATTATATTACAAAGAATACGATCTGGAGCTGCTCTTTATGAAGTGTCATGAGATAACTTTTGTTGTAATTTGGCAGTATCAAAAAAAAGTGGAATTTTCCTCACAGAACTTAAAATACATTTTGGGATTTCTTTGCGTTTGTATAACTTTAATAGTAATATTGTGTTCTGTGCACAGAGGTGAACCTTGGTGTTGTACACAGTGTTGGCATTATTATTATATAGGCTAGTCGTGTACAGCGCTTTGTGTAGGTAGATAGGTGAGATGGTCTTAATGGACAAACCAGTAAGTGTCAGTCAGGAACTGTGTAGGACAGTGAAACTAACCATTAGAGCATATTTAGAATACGTCTGTTCAAGCACCACAGCGTTTTTTTTTAAGGAGAAGGCAGAGAAAGTATTTTGATCCTTTAGCCTACATAAACAATGAGCCTTTTTACAGAAGATATTTTAACGTGTCACATCAGCAGGAAAACCACTAAAACTCATAAGCTCACCAACACCTTTGCTCCATGTCACCTACGTTAGACAACATGTAATTTCAGAGAGCTTAACTCTTAACCTAACAAGAAAAGAATGTGTGGAAGCTACATTTCTGTCTGGGATTGATTATGGTGACATCCTCATCCGCTTTACAGACTCTAGATTCAGCGTATCCTGGATCTCTTTGCTTCATGACCAACACAAGATCCCTCACACACCACCACTGCATTCTTTTTGCTTTGGTGGGTTGGACATCATTAACAATTCTCAGACAACAGCATCATCATCTTTATTTCAGTCTTTCTTGTTACCAGTTGCAAACCTCAAATGTGTTGCTCTTCACAGTCCTAAGAGTGCTGACAGCTCAGAGGAAATATGCCCGCACAATGGGCAAGGAACAATCTTCAAAAAGAGCTCACACTGATATCACTGAACAAATCTAAGAGCATCATAGAGAAGGTGGTGACGGAGGCATGTGGTTGTTTGCCATGAAAGGCCACTGTCATATTCCTTGGTGTGTTTAGTTGCCTGAACTTGAAAAGGGAGAAGAAGATGACAGAGGATGCTGGAACAACTCGTTCATTCTCTTTGTATTTGTTTTTACATTTAAATATATAAAAACATCTTCTCAAGTTTAAGCAGCAGCAGAGAACTTGACAGTTGTGAACTAATGGCGTCTCTGCAGTCACTGAAACTGAGCATGTGGTTTCTGGGGGCAGCACTCATCTCCGCTCCTGCACACACACACACACACACACACACACACACACACACACACACACACACACACACACACATGCACGCATCAAAATGTTTAAACACAGAATAAGTTCATTTAGATATGAACTAGTCAAATTTCACTAGTTGGGAAATTGGTCTGCTAGCTGGAGGGGTGCCAGTTCACTTCCTGAGCACTGCCGAGGCGACCTTGAACAAAGCATCGAATAGCGCTCGCCATGTGCAGCCCCCTCGCTCTGACATCTCTCCATGCATGTCCTTATGATACTGTTTGTGCATGAGTGTTTATTTCAGCCTGTGTGTGTGTAACATGTCTCAAGTATAAAATTGAATTTCCCCTCAAGGGACTAATAAAGTATATCTCCTTCTTTTAAAAAAGATGAAGAAAACCCTGTTTTTTTAAATCAAAAACACTTTCTAGACAGAGGTTTATTACTTTTGTCAGTGCTGGCAGTTATCAAACAATTAACTTATGATAACTTATGTTCTTTTTATTCCCCCTCTCTCTCTCTCTCTCTCTCCTACGCTCCCTCCAGCCACTGATCAAGCACACCTATGTCCACTCTGCAATCAGGGGGCAGAGTATAAAGAGCAGGAGGGAGCTGACAGTCAGTTTAATAGGGCAAATTGTCTGGGAGCCACGCTGCAGAAGTGTTACTATACTCCAGTCGAAGGACAGTGTTTTCCTGAAGGTGAAAAAAGGAGGAGATGAAACTCTTGTGCAGTTGCAATACCAATAACCCACAGATGAGGGCAGCATGGGACCTCTTATTTATTCATTAAACTGAATGAATAGTATTCCAACACTGGTTCATCTCTACTGCAAACCAGATATTTCAAGTTAAATCAGCCGCTTTAAAGCAAATATTACCCTCACTAACCCTCCAACATACTGTAGCAGGATTTAAATAGTCCACCTGGACATATATGGTCCAATAAAAGGTGGGTCATACCTACAGAGGGATCAGACTTATCATGTGCCATTAAAGATATGTCTGCTCCATTGCACAGCAGTCGAACAGGTGTAAAAAAACTCTCCCGGGCCACGTCTGATGCGGTTCCTTACTTCCCAGACTGGAACTACGTGGACGTTCCACATGTGTGGCGGTGATGAGGACCCTAGAGGTTTTGACTGTCTCCTCTTCAAGTTTTTTTTTTTTTTCAAAGACTGAACAGATGCATGCAAAGAGAGAGTCCAGCTGAGATTTCAGAGCCAGATGTGTTTACATTATGAGACACGGAGTAATGATCTGTGGAACAGCATTAAAGCAGACACCAGTGGGAGCATTGTTGTGATGATTCTTTGTTCAATCTCACTGTTGTGCATTTAGTTATTAGGTTTTTCTCAGCAGAGTGCAAAAAAAGGGAGGCAGGAGATATTTCACTGAAGGTGTACTCGGGTGTGGGAGTAGGAAGAAAAGTGGGACATGACCGACTGACTTCCCAGGGCCCCAGTGGAGGGAGGGGCCTTTATTGAGACTGTAATAATTTATTCCAAAAATGAAAAAATATATATATTTGTTTCTGTCTATATATTATACCTATCATAAGAAAGGCAACATTGGTCAAGAAAATGAACATGATTCTTAACTCTGTCTTAACTCCTAAAATCCTACAAAAAGAACTGCACGCTAAACGTTCGGTTAAAATAATAAATGTAAACAGTAATGAAAGTGATTGGAAGGATGGACGAGCCGTCCAGCAGTCTGTTTATGAAGGATCGGTTGTTAGACAGGCGCAGAAAATCATAAGTGACCCCTCACACATTCTGTTCTCTGAATATAAAATGTTTCCTTCAGGCAGAGGTTAGCGAGCCTTTAAGTAAAGGAGTAACCGCTTCAAGCTCTCTTTCCTTCCATCGTCAGTCACACTGCTGAACAACAGCTCAACCTGACCCCAGCTCAAGTTATCCATGCAGAGTGTTGAACTTGTTTTAACTTCTCTTAGAATATTCTTTGCCTTTAGGCTTTTTTATTGCAATTTATTATGTTTTTTTTTTTTACACTGTGCATATGGAAGTCTGTCTATCTATTATGTACTATATGCCTATCTAAATGTGGTTTAATGGCTGTCGTGTCTAGTTTTATGTTTTATGTAAGTAAGCTGCAGTGGTTTAGTGGTTAGCAATGTTGCTAGCAAGGAGGTTCCTGGTTTGAATCCCCGTCTGTGAGGAGTCTCTCTGTGTGGAGTTTACATGTTCTCCTCGTTCATGTGTGGGTTCTCTCCGGGTACTCCGGCTTCCTCCCACAGTCCAAAGACATGCTCGTTAGGTTAACTGGAGACTCTAAATTGCCCGTAGGTGTGAATGTGAGTGTGGCTGGTTTCTGTCTCTATATGTCAGCCCTGTGATTGGCTGAAGAACAGTCCAGGGTGTAACCCCGCCTCTCGCCCAATGACAGCTGGGATCGGCTCCAGCCTCCCCATTACCCCAAACGGGAAAAGCGGTATTGATAATGGATGGATGGATGCCCTTTTGTACTTTTCATAAAGTGTGTCCTTTAAAAGGTGACATGGAAAATGTTGACAACTTTATTTGAAAGCTTTTAAAGGGGTCATGTTGTCATGGACGTTTGGTTATAGTGATATTTCAGTGTTGATGAGGCTGTGGTGGAGGGGCCCAATGTGATATCTTTTCATTGGGCCCAGAAATCCATGTATTACCCCTCGGTGAACTGTCTGCCAGTGTCACCCCCTATGCTCTGGTGTAAGGTTTTGGAAGGACTGACATCACACTTGGAGAGTTTCATTTGTAATCTTGTGTGAGGCTGGGGGCTTGAAGTCATCTGTGGCACTGCTTTAGTGGTCTTACAGTGCCTCAAAGATCACGCGAGG